TTTTTTTTTTTCCAAGTATAAGACGTCCATGAGCCATGAGTGAGTGAGCGAGTGAGTGAGTGGGTGAGTGCGTGAGTGAGCATCAGCGCTGCGTTGTTTACCTTCCAGTCGCGTTCCATGCAAGGCGGTTGACGCAGCCACGGTGGCCATGCTCGGTCAGCCTTGTCTCGAGGGCGAGTGTGTGCACCAATGCCGGGTGCGAGCGCAGGTGCGTTCTGGCCGTTCTCTGAGGTTGCATTTGGTGTCATCAGATTTAGATTTGAGCCCTTCAACCCAGCCAAACGCGCGTGTTCCACACCACGCAATGCAAAATGGCACACTTGAATACAGGATGAATGTCGTTTTCGAATCAAACATCCGTGATGTCGATCAACACAGCGTGTTTGTTTCCGACCGCGTCATTCTCAGACACTCCGACAGACTTCACCCTCACCCTCACCCTCTCTCACCCTCACACTCTCTCTCACCCTGTAGCTCGCTGCATCTGGGTTTTGAATTGGTCGTAGTTCTTCACCTGGTTGCGCCATTCGCGATCAGCCACAATCCGCGACACTGACAGCGACATGTCTTTTGAAGCGTCGCTCAATGTGAAGAATGAGCCCCCGTTCTTTTTTAGAAAGTGCTCCAGCGTGCTACCAAATGTCAAAATGCTGGTTCAATGCAATTTAGTGTTATTGTCATACTTGCACTTCACTCCTTTCCTTGTTGTTGTTGTTGCTGCTGCTGCTTGCACAATGTCGTTCTACACACCTGTTGCCGAGATTCCAAAGGTTTGGCTTTTTTTACCGTCTCCTCGCCGTTGTCCCTCCTCGCCTATGCTGCCTTCTGAATGAGGAGAGCCACCAGCGACACAGAGACTGCCTACGTGAGGAGACACAAGTGAGAAGGGGGGGGGGGCGGCGTCGGAGTCAAAGCCCCAAAACCCAGCTTCCGCTTTTCTGCGTCTCTCTCTCCGACAACTCTTTATCGTTCTCCTCTGACGAGCGCTTGCATGCAAAGTCGCAGTTTGTCAACGCAAGGGGGGCACAGTTTGACAATGATGATGATGATGGGCTTCAGAGCCCCGAAGCGTGTGTTTGTGGCCCGGTCGAATAATGGGCTTTTGTTGATTTTCGCATCCAAAGTGGCTGTTGCTTGACCTGTCCTTCTCTTTCCTTGCCTCTCTCTCATTCACTCTACTCGGTCTCATTCTTCAATGGGGTGAGATTTCGTTCCAGCATCTCCCCTTTCTTTCATTTCCCCTTACATCGCATTCATGCTCTTCCCAACATTACATTGATTTTCGCAGCCGTCCTTCTTCAGCCTTTTCCCGCTTCCGGTCCTTTCCGTCCTTTCCTTCCGCACTGCTCCCATTTTTCAATATCCCTTCCTTCTTCTTCCTTCTGCTTCCTCTGCTTCCTTCCTTCTTCCTTCTTCTCAATTCATTGTTTCTCCTCCTTCTGCGCTTCTTTTGACTCTGTATCCGATACAACAGTCCATTTCCTCTCTCTCGTCCCTCCTCCTCCTCCTTCATCCATCATCCACCGTCGATCATTCTTTTGTCCATTTTTCCAATTCTTCCAATTTGTGTTTTTGTGTGTCCCTCCACTCGTGAGCTGACTTTACAAAACACAAAACAGCTGTCAACACGCTTGACATGTGCTCATGCCTTAGTTTGTGCATTCTTCTGAATTTCTCAGATTGTCGCCGAGTTGCGCGAATCGTTCCAGCAAGGCGTTGCGCTCGAAATCCCCTACCGCAAGAAGCAGCTCCTGGCCCTCGCTCGCATGTGCACCGACAATGAGGAGCAATTCGCAGAGGCCCTCAAGAAGGACCTCAACAAGCCAAAGGCGGAATCCGTCCTCTTTGACATTCGCTTTGTCGCCGGCGAGGTCGCGCGCTTGCTCGAGCACATTGACGAGTGGGCGACCGCAGAGGCCCCCACCGTGCCCTTGCTCAACAAGCTCGACGGCAACCGCCTCGTCCGCGACCCGCTCGGCGTCGTCCTCGTCATTGGCGCCTGGAACTTTCCCCTCAGTGAGTGTTTGTTGTTGGTTTGAATGATGGCGCTGAGAGCCTTCTTCGATGAGGATTCATGTTTGCTGCTTCATACGCTCGCTTAATCCATACTCACCTCCCGCCGCCGCCCCTTGTCTCTCCCTCTCTCTCCGCAGTGGTCAGTCTCTGCCCGATGGCTGGCGCAATCGCTGCAGGTATGTTCGGTTTGTTATCCTTGTCTCCGTCGCCTCAAAACGGCCAACCTCCTCATCTTTTCTTTTCTCTTTTTCCCCCTCCCTCTTCTCAGGCAATACGGTCATCGTCAAGCCGTCAGAGCTCGCATCCCACACTGCTCAGCTGTTGAGCAAGCTTCTCCCTGCCTACCTCGACCCGAAGGCCTACCGCGTCGTCAACGGCGGCATTAGCGAGACATCAGCCCTGCTGGAGCAGCGCTTTGACTCTATCTGCTACACGGGTGGCGGCGCAGTCGCCAAGATTATCATGAAGGCGGCGGCCAACCACCTAACCCCCGTCCTGCTGGAGCTGGGCGGCAAAAACCCCGTCTACGTTGCTGAAGATGCCGATTTGGCCATCGCCGCCCGTCGCATCCTCTGGGGCCGCCTTCTCAATGCCGGCCAGACCTGCCTGTCGCCCGACTATGTGCTCATCGACAAGAAGCTCCAGCCGGCCTTCCTCGAGGCTGCACGCGCTGCACTCAACGAGTTTTACGGCCCAGACCCGAAGGCCTCGCCCGATCTTTCGCGCATCATCAACGACGCTCACTGGAAGCGCCTCTCTGCCCTTCTCACCAGCGGCACTGTCGCCATTGGCGGACAGACGGATGCTGCCACGCGCTACATTGCCCCGACCATTCTTGTCGACGTCCCGCACGATGCCCCCGTCATGCAGAACGAAGTCTTTGGCCCCATTCTCCCCATTATCAACGTGTCTTCGATCGACGAAGCCATCAAGTTCATCACGTCGCGCGACAAGCCGCTGGCCACCTACCTCTTTACGCGCAACTCGAAGCTGCAAGACGAGTTCCTCAAGCGCACCTCCTCGGGCTCGACCTGCGTCAACGACACGATTCTCCAAGGTGGCGTGCACGGCCTTCCGTTCGGCGGCGTCGGCGCGTCCGGCATGGGCTCGTACCACGGCAAGTACTCGTTTGAGGCCTTCTCACACCTTCGCGCCGTCGTCTACAAGAACCCCGGCATGGAAATTGTCAACACAATTCGCTACCCCCCTTACTCGGACAAGAAGATCTCGTGGGTGTCGTGGCTCATGATCCCTGTGCCCAAGGCATACAGCGCTTCTGGAGCCGCCACTGCCTCCATGTTCAAGGTGCTTTTGCTGGCTGCGATTCTTGCCTTTGTCTTCAAGCTCAATCCCCAAGTGATTGCGTCCATTCGCCACGCCCTCGGTTTTTAAGCAGGCGATGAGTTTTTTTCCTTGCTCGGCAGCGACAGCAATGGAGAGGAGGAAACCCTCCCCCCAAAACCAAACAAAACAAAAAAACCCCCACCCGATGCCGTTGATCAGAAGCCAAAAAATCCAGACTTTGCTTTTTGCGTGTTTGGACTGGTGAATGACTTGTGTAAATTCAAAACAAAAAATACAGGAATGCTGATGTAAAGTACATGTACTGTACAGGATGAGCGAGGGTGCGTTCGAGCCAACTCTAAGATCGTCAGTCGTTTCTCGCGCATGTACCAATATGCTTCGTTATTCAGTATTATTATTATTATTTTCCAATCCACTCCATTTCTTCCTTTCTCAGACCAGTTTTCCTTTTCAGGGATGAGCGCACATTTGCTAAAGCCGAACGCGACCTTCACTGCAGCGCAGCACGATGAGATTCGCGAGGATTTCGAGCGGTAATCTCAAACCCCACATCCATTACTATTATTATGATGATGATGATGATGATGATGATTATGACTCTGCATGCATGATGATCAAGAGTTGGATGGAGATTGAAGGCAACACAACAACATCGTTCCAACGTCGACCGCCTCACTGAACGCACTGAACTCGACTTTTTCGACATTGTAGGAAGATTCGTGCCAAGCAGATTGTCGTGCCGACGAACGACGAGCATGTGCGCAAGCGGCTGAGGCAGCTGGGCGAGCCCATCACGCTGTTTGGCGAGGGCAAAGCAGAACGCAGAGATCGCTTGCGGGAGCTCCTCTCGCGCCAGGCATCGTCAGCCGCGGCCACCGGCGCAGGGGCAGCTGGCGAGGACCAAGGCGAGGAAGCCGAGGACGGATCCGAGAGCGACGAGGACGAGGACGAGGGTGAGGACGACGAGGGCGAGGACAAGGCGGCCAATGCGGATGCTGCGGCGGCAACAACAGCGCCATCCGGGTACAATCAGAAGGAGGTCTGGTACCACGAAGGGCCCGAAGAGCTCGAGGCTGCACGGAGGTTTATTGCGGCGTATTCGCTGGTCGCGGCACGCGAGCGACTGAAGCGACAGCGCATCCAGGTTGCCCGGCCAGAGCCCGTCAAGGCCGCAGCCATGAACGAGTCGCTCAAGTTTGCTCGTGTAAGTTTGGCCAATGTGAGGTGGCTGTGTTTTTGCTTGACGGATGGCGTGTGCTAACTGTGAGCATTGCGGTTTGAGTTGCGCAGGAACTCACAAACTATGGCTCGCAAATCGGCGATGACCGACCATTGTCGTCCTGCACGTTCTCGCCCGATGGCAAGACTCTTGTCACTGGCGCATTTACGGGTCTGCTCAAGTTGTGGTCGAGTCCAGAGTGCAAGTTGATTCGTACTCTAAGAGGTAACAGTCTTGGCAGCAAGTCCCTTTTTTCAGTTTTCCTTTTTGCTGTTCAATTGCATCATGAATGGCAAGTGCTCACGGCAATCATACTGTTGGTTTGTATTTGTGTGTGTTTACTTTGGCCTGACAGCACACGCGGAGCGAGTCAGTTCCATCGCCTTCCACCCACAATCAGGCAAATCTCTGGACGCATCCGCGGCCAACTTTGCTTCTTGTGGAGTCGATGGCACCGTAAAACTGTGGTCAATGACCAGCGAGACGTCTGTCGCAGCAATCGATGGCCACGAAGCTCGCGTTTCTCGCTTGGCCTACCATCCTAGTGGCCGATTTCTTGCGTCAACATGGTAAGTCGACAAAACGAGTGCTCGTTCCAACAATCATCTGTTTCTGTGCAGAAGCTCATTGTTTGTCTTGCATGCGTGAATCTCTGTTCCTTCAGTTTCGATCACTCTTGGCGGTTGTACGACTTTGCCGCCCAAAAAGAAATCTTATTCCAAGAAGGGCATTCCAAGCCCGTGTATGGCATTGCCTTCCATCCTGATGGCTCGCTTGCTGGCACTAGGTACGCTGCTGTACCAACGTTGATTACTCGTTCTCCCTTTCTCTTTTTCGCATCGAACTGACTTGAAATATTGCTTTTTTAAATATTTGGTGACCCTTTTGTTGAAAACAGCGGCATGGATGCATTTGGCCGCATCTGGGATCTTCGCACTGGTCGCAATGTCATGCTGCTCAACGGCCATGTTAACGCACTGCTCGGAATTGACTTTTCGCTGGACGGCTACACTGTCGCAACGTCGAGCGAAGACCACACGATCAAAATCTGGGACTTGCGCAAGCAGGCATGCGCATACACCATTCCTGCACACAACAATCTAGTTTCCTTGGTCAAGTTTGATCCCGTCAACGGCCACTATCTCGTCAGCGCCGGCTACGATAATCTGATCAAGGTTTGGGCCGCCGGCACGTGGGCCAACATTAAGACGCTTTCTGGTCATGAAAATAAGATCATGTCCTTGGACATTAGCAGCGGTAAGCAGGGGCAGTAGTTGAAGTTGTTGAATTGCTGTGATGACTTGCTTTTGTCTGACTGTTTGGACTTTTTTCGGTTGCTTTGAATCCGTAAACCCACCCCCCTCTTCCTTGCTAGATGGTACATTCTTTGCCTCTGCCTCGTACGACCGGACGTTCAAATTGTGGTCCAACGATGTCTACTGATCCGCCTGGTCATTCCAATTGCTTAATACACTTCGTTCATGCTCTTTCAAACCTTCCAGCTTGCACCATCTTCAATCCACCCCCCCTTCTTGTCTCAATCTATTGTTCAATTCCGCTTTGATTTCCACTTCCACTTCCACTCCAATTCAGTCTTTTTCTTTTTGATTTTTTCGACATGAACAGTCAGAGCGCTGACGAGGTTTGTTTCCCAATGCGTTTCTCACTAGAATTTTTTTTTTTTTTTTTTTTGACTTTGACTTGTTCAATGATCCGTTCACTCACTCACTCACTCCAACCCTTTTTCCCCTTTCCCTTTCCCCTTTCCCCTTTCCCTTTCCCTTCTCCTTCTCCCTCTCAATCCAACACTTCTGCTACGTAGATTCGAGCCAAGCGTCTCGCGCGCATGGGACAGGCCTCCCAAGCCCAGTCGACCACGTCAGTCACCATTGCACACATCTTCCATCCTTCCTTTCTGCTCTCTCTCGAGATCAACCCTTCGCTTTCTCTCTCTCTTCACTCTCGTTCATAGCGCTTCTCTCTTGCGTTTTCGAATGCCAAGTTCAAGTGATTCGCTCGCTGCGCTCCAACGTTGACATCATCACTTTTCGACTGCTGCTGCTTCAGTGAAAACGCGTCATGCATTGCATTGCATTGCATTGGACCAAAGTTTCGAGACTCACGAGTGTGCATTCACCATTGTTGCTTCTTCATTGTTCAATCAGACCGGCTGCGAGTGTCAGCGGAACTGCTCCTGCATCGCCACCGCCTGCTGCTTCACCCGCTCCTGCTCCCAGTCCTGTTGCACCGAAGCCGATCCAACGCGTGACTTCACCTGCACCATCTCAGGCTAGTCCGATGTGCACTTCGGTAAGGCGATTCAAGCGTTTGTTGCATTCACTGAACTGCGCCGAGCAGATTTCTGGAAAAACTCGTCACTCAACATCTCCATTCTGGCCTTGCCAACCGGTAGCCCGTGCGACCGACGACGCAGAGTCAGGCGCCAGAGACGAGCTTAAACCCAGAGTGGACGCACGCCTTGCTTGCACGCGTGTTGGAGGTCTCGCTTCAGGTACATTTTGGCTGTATTCATCGTCTCAGTTCAAACTTGCCTCTGCACTGACTTTTGCTGGAACACCCCGCCCCAATTGCAGCCCTGCCCAGCTCCTCTGATGTACCTGGATTCTCTGGCTGCCGAGCTTCTGTCCGAATCTGGTATGGGTTTTGACGTCTCGCGCGACCAAAAAAAAAAAAAAAAAACAACAAAAAACCTCACTTGTTTGTTTGTTGCCTCGTCTTCACCGCTCGTCTACACAGCCCCAATGCAATTCACTGCAGACATGACAGAGCGGCTTCTGATCGAGCGCCTGGCCGGATTTGCGGGCCATCCAGATCAAGTTCTACCCTTCATGTTTCGCGCTTTCGGAGTCTGTGACCATGAACAGCGCATGCTTCCACGGGTACAGCGCCCCCCCCCCTTTTTGTTTCCGATTCTACACATTGGTATCAGAGCTCGAGCACTTACTCTTTGTGTCAACAGACGGGGTCCTCATTACGTTCAGAGCTGCTCGCAAACGCGCAGCAGCTGCTGATCTCGTACACTGGCATCTTTCTGCAGTACCCCGACTCATTACTACAGGTCTCACCAAGCTTGTAAGAGCTTTGCGCTGAATCAGGGGGAGTCGCACCACCATCGAGAAAACACAAACTCACACCTTGCTCATTCTTTCGATTTTAGCCAACCGCAATCACTCTTTGATCAGTTTGTCCAGCACATGATCCGCGACTCAGACACACCGCACGGCATGCCAGCTCCGTTCCTGGCCAGCTTTATCGCTCGATTCGAGAAGGAGGACATTTCGACAGTCTTCCACCCGATTCTGTCGGCTTTCTCGCGCGCCATGCGTCGGTGCACGCTGGCCGATGTCTTCCAGACCTATTTGGGCGTGCTCACAGAGCTTGTTGGCTACAAGTCGATCTGCACTGCGATTGTCTCGCACCCCGACTTTCTGCCCGAGGCAGCGAACGGCCGCGAATTCGAGTCCAAGGCGCTCTTGGCGCCATTCTTTGCGCTCTCAGCCTTCCCGGATGCTGTTGCCGCTCCCACGTCTGTGGCCGCCTTGCTTGCTCCGCCCGAGCCAGTGTATACGCGATTCTTTGCCGACCCCACCAAGCAGCTGTCGAGCGACGTGCAAGCAGCAATGGCGTCCGTTCGGTCTGGCATGCGTCTTGTCCAGGAAAAGCTTCACACAGTCATGCTTCAGCTGCTCAAGCCAAAGGATGAGCGAGAGAAAGTGCTCGACTTTTTCTCTCGAGCAATCTCGATCAACGCCAAGCGAGCACAAATGCGGGTACGGGAATGGTTGTTTTTCTTCGCGAGATTGGTTGTTGCACAGCGGCGGTGGGGACATTCCCGTGTCTCGATGAGCAACTTGAGCTAATTGTGTCACTTGCATGATTCCTTTCCATGCGATCAGGCATCGTTCCAACATCACAGCACGGATGGATTCTGCTTCAATCTTGTCGGCGTGCTGCTGCGCTTGAGTGACAAGTTTGCCGACCCTATCAATCCCAACGTCAGTTGACGAGCCTAGTTGTTGTTTTGTGCCATGCTGTTCATGATGACGAGAACCAGACTAACAATCAACTCGTCACTTTGCTTGCGTTCCTGCTTTGGTTTCGCTCACGCAGATGGCCAAGATCGACAACGGCTACCTCTTGCATCCTGACTCTCGCGTGCATGTCGGGGACGAAACAAAGATTGCCGCTGCTGCCGATGAAGTCAGCCGCTGGATTGATCAGCGCAACTTTGCGCGCACCCAGGCCTTCCAACAAGCGCAAAAGAAACAGCTCATCGACGACTCTACCAAAATCACCGAGTGTATGCCCCTGCTTGCTGCTCGGCCTTACATCCCAATGGTCGAGAGCTCTCACTTTTTTGTTTGCCTGCTCGTTGTTTTTTCGCACTCTTTTTCTGTTTCCTTTTTCCAGTCAACCCTCCAAACTTTATCACCGAGTGCTTCTACATGACGATGGCCGCACATCACATCGGCGTTGTGGCGACGCACCACAAGCTGGAGCCGTTGTTCCGGAATATGCAGGAGATCAAGACTCGCCTTGAGCAGATTGAGGGCCAACGCGCCCAGTGGCAAGGCACCCCTCAAGCAGCTCAGTACGAGCAAGCCGTGAAGAAGCTGAAGGTATGTTCACTGTTTTGTGTCAGTTTTTGCACTTGTCGTCGCTTCCTTGTTCCCTGAGGAGTGCACACTGACCTGTCCATTTTTTTTTCTTTCAGAGCATGGAGGAGGAAATCCGGAGCCAACAACTCGCGTACGAGACCATCTTGGCCGATCCGGACTCGTTGCTGCACACACTGTCTTTCTACAGCTTTGTTGCGCAATGGCTGCTCAAGATTGTCGACCCCAAAAACGCCGGACTTCCGTTGCCCGAAGCTCTTCCTCAAGTGTTTGCCTCCCTGCCCGAGTACTTTGTTGAGGACATTGCCGAGTTTTTGGTCTTTGTGACGCGCATGGCTCCCAACGTGGTGGATCGCATTTCGCTGGATCCGCTCATCCGATTTATTGTGACGTTCATTGCAAGCGTCTCGTACATTCGCAATCCGTACCTGCGTGCCAAGCTTGTGGAGATTATTACCCGCCTCACCCCCGAGTTCACCGGGCAACGCGTGAATCGCTTTGGCCAGCTGATCGAGCGCCATCCGCTTGCCATCGAGCACCTGACTCCGTCCTTGATTCAGTTTTTTGCTGGCAAGTAGAGCGACAGGGTCGATTTGTGGGGCAGGATTTGTATCGCGGAATGACTGACGAAACACTTTGCTTTTTGCTCGTTTCCAGACGTTGAAAACACTGGCAGCCACACTCAGTTCTACGACAAGTTTAACATTCGCTACAACATTGCCCAAATCGTCAAGAACTTGTGGACATCGCCCGACCACCTCGCTCAGCTGGTTAAAAGCAGGTATTTGTTTGCCACGAGACCAACCAAACATTTCGTCGTCGTGGTCCAAAAGTGGTTGCTGCTCACTGTTTCCGTTTTGTTCCTTTTTTGGGGTGTTTGGTGTGCTGCAACAGCACGACCGAGTGCTTTGTCCGGTACATCAACCTCCTGATGACGGATGTCACGTTCCTGATCGACGAGGCGATGGCAAAACTCGGCGAGATTCGCGATATCGACCACTTGAGGGACAATGCTGCCGCTTGGGCTGCGACGCCTCAAGAAGAGCGCCAGAGCCGCGAGGCGGCGTTCAACGCTGCCGAAAACCAGGTCAAGAGCTACCTGGCCTTTGGCAAGGAGATGATTTCCATGTTCATGTTCTTGACGCAGACCGTCCCAGAGGCGTTCTTGCTTCCCGAAATGATTGATCGTCTGGCACCCATGCTCGACCACAACCTTGTGCGCATGGCCGGCCCCGACGCACAAAAGCTCAAGGTGAAGAATGCCGACAAGTACGGCTGGAATCCGCGCCAGTTTATCGTCAACCTGGTGCAGATCTTTTTGAATCTCGCGCCCAAGCTGCCCGATCAGACCATTCGTCAAGATTTTGTGCGCGCCATGGCACGTGATGGTCGCTCCTTCCAGCCCGACATTCTGCGGAATGCGGTCGACATTTTGTCGCGCCACTCCCTTGCTCAGCCGGTACGCTGGTCTGAATGTTGATTGTGGAGTGGAGATCCATTAAAAAGGGGTGGAGGAGGGGGGGGGAAGGGCAGTGCATGCTCGTGTGTCGTCGGGCTGTTATTCACCTTGATTCTTTGGCTGCTCTTTGCTGTTGTGATTGGCGCCGTCCAGGATACCATTGAGCATTTTGCGTCCATCGTCCAACTTGCTGAGGATACTCTTGCGGCGGACAAGCGGACGGAAGTCGATCTGGGCGAGATTCCCGATGAATTCCTTGGTCGGTGGAATTTTCTTTTGCATGAAGGGGGGATGCTTTTGAGTTGATCTCGTTGCAAAAGGCTCATTTTTGATGTGTTTGCTTTTTTTTTTGGGATCCGACTAAATCCGGGGCTCGCAGACGGAATGCTGTTCTCACTGATGACGGATCCAGTGCTCCTGCCTGCTAGTCAGGTCGTGGTGGATCGCAGCACGTTGAGGACACATCTCATTTCCAACGGCGAGTACGACCCGTACAACCGCACGCCGTTGACCATGGAGATGGCCGAGCCTCGTAAGAGAATGTTCTTCTTGTGTCATTATGCGACAGTGAAGTGACCGTGAAGTGACAGGCTTTTGTTGTTGACGTTGTGTTTGTTTTTCGTTGTATCGCAGAAACCGAGCTCAAGCAGCGCATTGAAGCGTTCATTGCTTCTCGGAAGTCCGGATCCCAGCCCATGGCAGAGTAGTCGTTGTCTTGTTTTCGGTGTGTTTGTGTATGGTGTCGTTTTGGCTTTTCTCTGCCGTTGGCGTTGTCATCCACACGAATGAACGAGATTTGTCAGTGAGGATTTGCAAATCCACCGTCTCCGTCTCCTACTCCACCAAGCGTTCCACTTTTTCCACACTTTACTCATACTTTCCACACCACTCTTAATTTTCTTTTTCTTTTCAGACACACACACCAATGTACCGCGGACCAGGATCAGCGCCCGCAGCTGGCCCGAGCGATTTCAGCAGCAGCGTTAGCAGCGGACCCAGCATAACGACGCCGCAGTCGAGCCACCACTCGAGCAGCAGCAGCGGCGGCAGCAGCAGCAACAGCAGCAGCAACAACAATGGGCTTCTCGGATCGTTCGGGCGGCACCCGCTGATTGAGCAGGCTGAGGAAGTGGCAGAGCAGGCGCTGTCCAAGGGCAAAAAGTACCTGCCGACGATCGCGCGGCTGCTGCTTGTGTCGACCTTCCTCGAGGACGGGACGCGGATGTGGTTCCAATGGGGCGACCAGAGCGACTACTTCCGCCGCACCTGGGGCGTCCACTGGGCCCTCGTCGTCCTCTTCCTGGTGCTCAACATGACCGCCCAGATTGGCGGATCTCTCCTCATTGTCGCGCGCAAGCACGTCCGCGTCGCTGCAGGCGTCCTCTTTGGCGTCATTGTTGCCCAGGTACAACAACAAACGCCACTCATTCATTGCGCTCATACACAGTGAGCGTGATATCGCAAAGGAGCAAGCCCCAACCAAGTCAATAGTCCGAGTGAGATTGGAGCAAAGAGAACAGCAATCTGAATGCGAGTGTTTCAATTGTCTGATCACTTGGACGGGAAGTCGTCGGATGGTTCTGACTTTGGAGTGTAAAGCAAAGTGAGATGAGGAAGTGGGCACTCGGTGGGGGCAGGCGGGAATGAGAGGGGCGCAAAGGTTGTTGTTGGGTTGTTGGCTCACGAGTGGTTGGTCATGCGGACAACGAAATCAGCCACTGTTGCACCACTGAGGTCAAGGCTGTGCGTATTGAGTATCAGTGAGTGTGTGAGTGCATGAGTGTATGAATTGAGCATGGATGAGGATTGGGGAGGGGGTGGGGGTTTGATGGTTTGCAGGGTGTGATCGAAGATGTCCGCAACCGGATCAGACTTGCCGCTCAGACTTCTCAGACAAAAGTCCAAATGTGCTCTGTGATGGATGCAACACTCAAAACAAGTCCAGGGTTGTTTGATGCTGCACTGGTTGTGGTCTTGCTCACTTTTTTTTTGGGGATTGTGTTTCGTTCTGATCAGACCCTCGCGTACAGCGTCCTGTGGAACCTGAGCTTCTTCTTGCGGTAAGACGGACGAACGCGCACTCACACAATAGCTGCAAGAACCAGCAGTGCACAAACCCACTCACTCCCCCGTCGTTGCCTTCTTGCTTTTGTTTCTAGAAACCTCGCCATGACCGGCAGCCTCTTCCTGCTCATCGCGGAAGCTCAAGACAGCAAGCCCGTGTACACGGCGGGCTTGACTGTGGAGACGGACAAGGAGCGCCAGCACGGATACCTCTTGCTGGTCGGCCGCGTGCTGACCGTCTTTATGTTCTTCACGCTGCTGCACCAGCCATTCGGCCTGCTCAAAATTCTGCTCATCATTGTCGGCTCGAGTCTGATTGCTCTGGTCGTGGTCGGCTTCCGCACCAAGCTTTCGGCACTGCTGCTCGTCGCCTTCCTCGGCATTCTCAATCTCTTCCTCAACCCATTCTGGACGTACAAGTCGTGGGACACGTCGCGCGACTTTGCCAAGTACGACTTTTTCCAAACTCTTTCGGTCATGGGCGCCCTGCTCATGATTGTGTCGATTGGCCCCGGCATGATGAGTGTAGACGTCCGCAAGAAGGCCTACTAAACGCGACAGTCTACGTATTCCTGCACTTTTTCCAGGGATCTCTCTGCGTGTGTGTTTGTGTGTGTGTGTGTGTGTGTGTCTGTGCTGTGATTAATGTGTGTGCGTGTGCATGTGTGCGTGTGCGTGTGTGCGTTTTGGATGGCGTGTGTCCTTTGTTGTTCGCCCGCGTTTACTTGAAGGCATCCAAAACAACCCATTCCCCCAAATCCAACAGCGCCAGTCTTTTTTCTGCTTTTTCTCAGTCGTATCGCAAGCAAACAAACAAAAATGGGCCTTTCTATGTACTTCCGACCGCTTCGAGGCATCCTCACCAAGCTCCCCACCTTGCCCAAGGAAGTTCAGGAGAAAATGTTGCAAGGCAACGGCAAGAACCTCCCTGGTTGTTCGCTGTATTGCTGGATGCCCAGGCACGGCAATCCGACCGAGGGCTACGACCCGAACGATGTGCTTATCGGATACGAGGAAGAAGAACACTGGATTTGCAGAATCCACTACGAGGGCGACACCCAGTACTTCCGCCGCAAGGAACATCCCATGTCCCAGAAGGACTGGACTCTGTTTTCCGAGCAGCTTCCCAAGTATCTTCATGGGGAGAGGGAGTCCTTTGATGACTACTTTTTGTTCTGGTGCTTCTGAAACGGGTTTGTGGGCGGGAAGTGTTTGCCAAGACCAAAAACTGCCAAAAACTTGCGTTGCGCTTCAATAATACAACCTTTTGCCTTTGGCTAGTAGCATCCACTCCCCTCGATGATTCTGTGGGCTCCAAGGCATAGAGTGTGTGAATGGCATCCTCTGGAGCATTGGTCGAGCTGGACACGAACGAACGCAGCAAATCGACGTTGTAACTTGCGATTTTGACACAGGCGACACAGGCGGGCATTCGCTGCACCTTTTGGATTACACACAAACATGACAGTACATTGTACGGTGGTTTAAGACTCTACAGAGGGCGTCGTTGGAGTTCCATCCGGAGTTTGGCAACACGGGTTCAATGTTGAAACCCTTGCATGGATGCGTTCAACTCCCGGTCATGCATGATACTAGTATTCAGCTTTCTTGTCATCTGCACTATCGGTTTCTCTTTCTCGTCCCCACCTCTACTTCGTGACTGTGCGTCGTAACTGGCCATTGCGATCGCTTCTCAGCCGCTTGTTCCCGCCTTTTCTTCCCAATCTCCTCCCTTCACCCATTATTGTCTCACTCTTCCTTTTTTTTTTTCGTTCTCACTCTTCGTCATGATCAACCTCTTTTCACTCAAGCAGCAAAAGAAGGACGCTGCTGCTGCTGGCGGCAAGAAGACCTCGGCTGCCCAGCTCCGCACTCAGAAAGGTGAATGCCTCCTCCTCCTTTCCCCCTCTCCTCCCCCCCTCTCCCCTACTTTCACTCTCCTTGAATCGCTGTCTTCGCCCTACTTTCACTCTGCTATGGACGTGCATTGGTCTCGTCATGCTGGTCTCTTTTTTTTTTTTTTTTTTTTTTTTTTTTTGTTTCCGTCTTTCTCTCTCTCTCTCTCTCTCGCTCGCGTTGACTGCTTTCCAAGTCGGTCAAACTGTACTGCTTGCATAGCAGTGACACTGTGACACACTGTGACTGGGTAGCGCGATCTTGGAGGCGAGCAGACCATCAGCACACAAAGCCAACGACGAGCAACTTGTGTCTGTCAGCAGAGTGCTCTGCGGCTTGGTTTGCAGCGGGGCGGCAACGTTGGCCATTTGAGTGCTGTTATGCTGGAGCGATGAGCATCATCATCATCATCATCAGTGCAAAAGCGAATGGAGCGGCGAAGCGGGGCAGAGAGCTGAGCCGTCTGAGGCCAATGCTAACGTCACTCAATGGACAGCCAGCATGCAAGTGAGCCAGCCACCTCGGGTGCTTTGATTGCTGGTCAATACGGCCGACAACGATGCAAGATGAATAGAGTTTGAAAAGCCAGCAGGAAGAGCGAGAGAGCAGGAGCAACGTCGGCTGAAGATCTGAGACACAAGACTCTGAGACAAGACTCTGAGACAAGACTCTCCGATCATTCCCAGTGAAATCAGTGAAAAATAGCAATAAAACTCACTTTGTTGCGCTTGTTGTTGGGTACTGCCAGACATCAACGACCTCAACTTGCCATCAACGTGCAAGGTCGACTTCCCAAACCCGGACGACCTCCTCACGTTCAACCTCGCCATCGCGCCGGACGAAGGCTTTTACAAGGGCGGCCTGTTCCGCTTCACCTTCAAGATTGGGCCAAACTACCCCCACGAGCCACCGAAAGTACACTGCGAGCAGAAAATCTACCACCCAAACATTGATCTCCAGGGCAATGTCTGCCTCAACATTCTGCGCGAGGACTGGAAGCCCGTGCTTAGTATCAACTCGGTCATCTATGGCTTGCAGTTCCTCTTCCTAGAACCCAACCCAGACGATCCGCTCAACAAGGAGGCCGCCGCCAACTTGCGGGAAAACCGCCGCGGCTTTGAGGCCAACGTTACTCGCTCCCTTCGCGGAGGCAGCGTTGAGAACAATGTCTTTGATAACTGCATGCGAAGTGGCAACAGCTGGTGAGAGCGAGCGTGGCCTGAAACAACAAACAAACCAAAACAAAAAAAAAGGATGCCCTTGGTGAGCGAACTTCCAGTCCCCCGATTTCGTTCCGTCATTCTCTCTGCGCTTGTCTTCTCGGTGAACGTCGCGCAGCGCTTGTAATCTAGGACGCCTTTATCAGATTGTGAAAAATACAGTCATTCATCTCTTTTTTCAAAACATCGTTGGAGCTGTTCGCAGATTGGGAGCACGCACGACAACCAGCAAAACAAAAAAAGGACGCTCATGCTTTTTGTCTACTCTTGAGAACCACCGGGCATCAGAGGAGCACCGAAATCAACAAACTTGGGGGCGCGCTTCTCCTTGACGGCGTTGATGCCTTCAATGAGATCGGGCTCGCTGTAGCACGACGCCTGCGCATCGGCTTCCGTCCAGAGCGCCTGCTCGAGACCTTGATCCACGCGTCCACGCAGCATCATGACGAGACGACGGGTCGCGCGCGGCGAGTTGTTGGCAATCCGACGTGCCAGGTCCAGGGCGCGTGGGACGAGCTGGTCGGGCTGCTCGACAGAGGTAACCAAGCCGAGCTCCTTGGCCTCAGCCCCAGAGATGAGGTCACCGGTCAAGCACAGCCGAGCTGCGATTTGGGGATTGGAGATGGCGGGGAGAATGTGGGTGCCAGCCATGCCGGGAGTGATGCCAATCTTGACAAAGTTGACGCCCATCTTGGCATCGGTCGCAGCCAACCGCAAATCGCAGGCAAGCGCAACGCAAAAGCCAGCGCCAACAGCGGGTCCGTTGATTGCGGCGATCGTCGGAACGGGCACCTTGCGGATGGAGAGGAATCGGCGGTAGAACGCCTTCATGATGAATGCGTTGTTCATCGCTGTCTCCTGCCGGTGCCAAGGGTGCCAAGCATGGTGAATGAGTGACGTGTGATGATCTTTAGCAAGCTTGTCTCCATCATGCTCCCAATCCGAGCCAAAAAACCACAAAAAAAAAAAAAAAACACAAACCTTTGAGCGATCCAACAGGAACTGCAGATCGCCGCCGCCAGAGAACGCTCGACCGTTGCCCGTCAGCACCACAGCGCGCAGAGTTGGATCGACTGTCGCCCAGAATTTTTTTGTAGTGAATCAAAGTGTGAAGCGGTTGAGTAAAAATCACAATCGGTAGGGAGGATAAGTTTCTGAGACACTGAGAGCGCGACTGCTGCCACGAGGATTCGCCAATCCGCGCCCTACCTGCAAGCTTGCTCATGGTGGCTTCAAACTGCTGTCCAAGCTCAGCAGTGAATGCGTTGAGGTTGTGCGGCGTGTTGAACGCGACGATCGCGACGCCAGTGCTCGCGCCGGGCTTGCCGTCCTTGTCCGCGGGGAGCGAGTCGCGCGTCACAGTGATCATTGCAGCGCGCGTCGCTGTAGAAGCAGAAGCCGAAGTAGTGGCGGCGGCGGCGGTGGTGGAGGCAAACCGGACGATGGAGTGGCCCAGTCGCAGACCAGACTGAAGCAGCATTGCGAAGGATCAAACTATCAAATAACAAAAGAGACTGAGGCCATGTTGTATTGGCACAAAACACACAGAGCGACGATGGAATTATTAAATACAACATCAACCACCAAGCAACACGAGGACGAGAAGAAAATGGGATTCCGCAACGTCTAGCTGCCCAGCAACAACTTGATTTGAGCAGGCGTCCGATGCGCAATCGTATCGACAGCACCGTAGCCATTGCGCGGATCAGCAACTGCCTCGTAGATCGAGTCGTAGGCGGCCATCAGCAAGCCAGCAACTTGCGCGTGAATGGCAGATTGCAAACGCGGGCTGGCAATTTTTTCAGAGCCCGCCAGCGCTGCGGAAATCACATCTGGAGAGGCAATCAACCGATCAAACTGCAGCAGCACGGTGCGCATGGACAGTGCATCCATGCTCGGGATGCTTGACAATGGGACCTGTTTACGATGGTGTGAGTTCGGCAGAAAAGTGGCATCAAGCAACAAAATGACAAAACAATACTCCCTACCGTTGGATCTGCCGTGCGCATCATGGCGAGCTTGCCTGCCATTTCCGACCGTACCAACACAGAAGTGGCCTGAAAAAAACAACCAACAACCAGTGACCGACAGTGAGTGGGATTTGCATTTTGTTGTCAACACTCTTGTTGTAACAAAGCTCACGACTCACCGCTTCATTGACAATGGCAGCGGAGTGGACGTTGATTTGCTTATCCACTTCCAAAATATGCGACTGTGTGGTCTCGTACAACGAAAGCGTGGTCTGCAAGAGCCAACCGAGTGGGAGAGATGTGAGAACTGAAGCCAAACACGCTGCTTACAATCTGAAACAAATCCCATTCAATCGTACCTGAAGCGCGTAAAGACAATTCAAAATAAATACTGGACGCGCCGAGCTTTCGAGTGGAGCGGCCGACAGAACCGAGAACTGCAGCAAGGGGTCGACCAGTTGCGCGAGGATGGTTGAGAACTCTGCTTGGCGCGCGGCATCCGAGACCACCAAAGAAGCATCATGGGAAGCCAGAATATCGCGCTGATTGGGGAAGAAAGCGTCAAACGGAAAGCAACAGATGAGATAAACCAAAACTGCATTGCTCAAACTCTCGTGTCGTTGTTACAAACGCATACCATCATAGTCAGTGTGGTCACGAATGAATGTGGAGGAGTGAGATCGGCATTTGGCGTCTGCAACGAAAAGAAAAGAGGAAACGTGAGAAACAAGAACATTCAGCCGAAAAACCCCCCACAAAAACACCTCCGAAAGCATACCTCGCCGGATGACAAGAGTTTGCGCGCGTGAATGCTCAAAGCATCTAATAGGACCTTGATGGCGAGTTGCCGCAATCTGCAGGGAGTGGACCATTAGACTGGGTTTCGCATTCAAAAGCACGCGACCAAAACACAAAATCCGAACAACATGAAAACTGACCCTTGAATAATTGCGCACAAAGCATTCTCCTCAGGCATCAGTTGCTTGATCGTGTCCCCATAGAACTGGAGCAAGCTTGTCAATTTGAAGCACACGACGATGCCTGGCTGAGAAAGCAAGACTTGGTCGGCTCGCGCCTGAAATCCCCACACAACCAAAAAATGCGAGGCGCACACCGTGAGCGTCAAACGCAACAGGCTTCAACGTAAACACCAAACTCCCTCAACCAAAAAAAGCAGCAACTACCTTCAGAGGTCGGCAAGTCGCTTCCATGACCTGGTCCAGCGTCTTTTGGATGATTTTCGACAACTCCAATCGCTTTTGCTCCTGTGAATCTCGCTGGCCTTGGTCAGCATCCGGAAGTGAGCCAGATCGCGAGGCAAGCGGCGCCGAGGCACCACTACGCTGAGTTCTGCCACGGGCCGCCAATCGCGGAGGCAGCAGCAAGCTGTCCAAAAACTCGCGCTCCGACGCCACAGTTTGGTGCAGCCACGCAAGCATATCTCCCACATATCTGAAGGACGCAGAAACCAAGGAAATGCCGAATGAGATACAAAAGAGAAGCTTTGTAGGTGAATTGGAGAAACAAAAATGCTGTCGAAATGCTACAAACCTCATCGGATCGTGCGAGTGCAGCTCGATTGGGCGAGGCGTGCCTCCAGGTCCTCCACGCGTCAATGCGTCGATAAACATGCTGCGGCCCAAATTCAACAAGACACGGCAGCATGTTGAGCCAACTTGAAACAACACATCAACCGTTCCAACTAACACGTTTGCTCAGAGAGAAAGCCTCACCGTTGCACCGCCACACGCCTCGAGCTGGCGAGCTCGTCAATACAATACTGGAACAGCACAGACCGGTCGGAGAGAGCGACAAACGCGCTTCGCAAGTTCGGCGTCACCTCAGCGAGATCCTTGGAGAGCTGTTTGCAGGCATGCTGCGTCCATCGGAAGAGCTTTTCGTAGCCGCTTTCGAGCAGCAGCGACATTTGCTCCATAATCTCCAGTCCAGCGCGCTGGTGCGTCGAATGCACGAGAATCTTGCACTCTGCATGAATTTCACGAACGCGAGCGAGTGCAGAGAAGAGTGCTTCGTTGACAACCGGCACCGCCGCAGCCGCACCAGCAGATCCAGACCCAGCACCCGATCCAGCCGACGACGATGACAACGCAGCAGTCTCGGCAGCAGTGAGCTGGAATCGCTGGAGAAACCGCGCAATGACCTCTGATCGGAGCTCGACGCGGGCGCTCTCCGAGTTGAGCTTGTTGGTGACCTCGAGCAAGGTCGCCGTCTTGGACGTTGCAGCGTTGAGTCTGTCTGTCATCTGGCTGCAGCACGCGGCCATCAGCGCGACCTCCTGCGCAGCGGCGTCGAGTGCCGCGTCGACCTGGCCCAGCGACGCAGCGAGCTCGCGGTGGACGCTCAGCGCCTGCGCCTCGATCGCCGACCGCAGATTGCGTCGCGTGTGCAGCGTGTTGTCTTCAACGAACGTCGACAGCGCGCGGAGTCCAGCGACCGCTTGCTGCAAAGGTGAACGAGAACAGTGAGGATACAGCAGTTTTTTTTTGGTGTTCATACTCTCATCTCAGTCTTCAATACTGGACAGGGCAACGAGTATGAACTTTTCATCATGAATCAATGCAATAGTAGTGTCTTTTAAGTTTTTACCTTGTTCTGGTCGAGCTGAGCGCCGAGTTGCTTGGCTAGCTTGCGAGCGAGCGGATTCGAGTTGGCCAATGCAACGCCAGCACCGGCTCCTGCTGCTCCTGCTCCAGCGACTCCTGCTGATGATGATGATAATGATGATGATGATGATGATGACGACGGGGTCGAAGGCAGCGGAGTGGTGAGAGTGTCTGTCATTTTGTTAAAAAGAGAGAGAAAAAAAAAAGACTGAGAAAAACAAAAAGACTGAGAAAAACAAAAACAGCCACACCCTCCTTGTCTGAGAAGTAAGAGGCGTGTTGTTGAATGTCCGATTTGTGATACATATGTTACGGTTGAGACCCCTCGTAACAAAAAATGAAGCTCGCTTTAGTCTTTCTATTCTACATTATTCAGAATAAGCCATTTGATTTGGAATAGGACATTGAAAGGATGCCGGCATTGACGTTGCGCTGCCAGTGGAAGGGCGGATCGCACGTCCTCACCACCGCAGAGGCTACCACAACACTCACAGAGCTGCGTGGATTGCTCGTCTCACTCTGCAGCATCCATCCAGACAACCAGAAGAGTAAGACGGAAGAAAAAAAAGCTCCGTCCTTGTCCTTTGGTCGGGGTTTGCATTGAAGTGATGACCGAGTTTGCCAGACTTCCCCCTAACTCACTGGGAGCGACTGTCTGGTGTCATTCAATAGTCTTATCTGGATACCCACCCAAGGAGCTCGTTGATCCATCCGGCGGCGGCGCGTCAACGCTGGCAGAGCTCGGAATCAAGAGCGGCGAAACACTTCGCATCGAGCCGTCCAATGCAGCGCCAGCGAGCGCGAGTCAACCTCAGCCGACCCCGCAGCAAAATGCTAAAACGGGTCAGGCATTGTCAGGATTGTCGGGATTGCCTGGTTCAAGTGCAAAGGCAGGACTCGAAGCGCAATCTCGCGCTCGAAAGCTGGTTCGCCGGTAAATTTTGTTGTAGAATGGCGTTTGGACAAAAAGTTTCCAGAGTCGAGGCCGAGACCGAGGCAATCCATCATCACTCAAGAGTCACTCTTGAAACTTCCAGCAAGGAGGCTTGGCTGACTGACATGCTGGCTTGAAACTATGGTGACAGGGTGGTTCCGGCGGATAATTCGTGCCTGTTCAATTCAATCTGGTACGCAATGATTGACCGCCAGTTGCAGCCTGTGCAAGGGGCGAACGAGCTGCGGCAGGCTGTCGCCGAGGCTGTTCGAGCAGATCCGATCACCTTCGACGAGGCTACGCTTGGAATGGCTCGGGACAAGTACATTGCGTGGATTCTCGATCGCGAGCACTGGGGAGGTTTGTTTTTGAGCATTTCTGGGTGTTGGTGACTACTGTGGAAGCGTGTACGTCATGCGTCATGCTTACTTGCTGTGGGGGTGGTGGTGGTGCCGAGCACAGGTGGCATCGAGATTAGCATTCTTTGCAAGCACTTTGCGACAGAGATGGATGTTGTCGATACGCAAACCCTGCGCATCGATCGCTTTGGTATGCAGATGGTTGCGGGTCATGTGTCGAGGAGGTTGTTTGTTTCTCTGATCTGATCTGATCATGTGCATGCGATAACAATAGGCGAGGCGGACGGCTATTCCAACCGAATCTTTCTGATTTTCGATGGCATCCATTATGACATCCTGGCCGAGCCCTGCGGCCCTTCGGAATCTCCTGACAGGGATATCACCGTCTTTCCAGTCTCCGACCAGGGCGCTGAGCAAAGAGCGCTCGCAGTTGCCAAAGAAGCCAACCAGAAGCGGCAGTTTACCAATCTCGCAGGTTTCACGATTCGCTGTCTGGCGTGTCAAACACCCCTGGTGGGTCAGCGCGAGGCACAGGCGCATGCAATGTCCACCGGTCATACGAACTTTGGAGAAGTATGAGGCGCCTGGGCGCAGCTGTTTTTGACCAATAAAACAAAAAAAAAAATGACTGAAATCCAATCGCGCGCACATAGCACACATCGTGTCGTCGACTTGCTTTGGCCCAAGCGCAGACAGTAAGCATTTACAAATGTAGATGGACGAACAACACCACACAGCGATGCTTTTGTTTGTCTTTATGAGAGCTAGTGCACAATATTTTACAATGCGTAGAACGAATCTACACTGCGCAACCAATAACGTTTGGTTGCTGAATCATTTGCCAGAACGAACACGATCCCAGATGTCTTCAGCAATGGCTGTCACGCCTTCACTCAGCCGCGGAAGCACAACCTTCCAATCTGTGCCCTGCCAAATGCGGTCTGTCAGTTTCGGCACAATGACTTGCCATTCTGCCATCGCCCGCTTGTGATGCTCCCACGCAGCGCGATGAAAGTCGCGAAGGCGTTTCAGCGGAGACTCGTACGGGACTTGAGGCCGTTCTTGCTGTGGCACTGGCCACATTGGCGGAAGCGACTGCGTTCGAGCGGTGGCGTGGTCGTTCGGACGCTGCACTGTGTGTGATGGATGTCCGTCCTGCTCCGTGAGGTCGACAAGGCCTGTTTCTGGGTGGCCGAGATGTTCTTTGAGCCAGCTGACGTGCAGCATCGAAAATCCCTTCGGGGTCGGGACTCCCAGGACTGGCGGTGGTTTTGGAGGGTGCACGCTGGTGAGCGAAAGCCGCACGCCATTCACCAATGCGGGCAACATGACATCAGCGAGCAGCACTTCAGCCGGAGCAGGGTCGACGAGCAAGGCTCGAGCTGAGCTTGCTTCACTCCCTGCGACGACGATTTGCAAGCCGGTGGCCATGGCAGGAGCGCCTTCGGATTGACCACACTGCGTGCAGTACTGCCGCCTTCCATAGACTCGTTCATGGCCTTGCACGGGCTTGAGGTCTGCGGTGGACGACGGTGCTTCGGCGTTTGTCTTGGAGGATTTCGCTGGATTGGTCGTTGTGGTGGTCGTCGTCGTTGTTACGAGCGCTCCATTGTGTTGCTTGACTGAGGTCGTGGTGGTCGTCATTGAGCCTGCAGTTCTCGCTGGACTAGCATTGGCATTAGCAGCACTGGCATTGGCATTGGCATTGGCATTGGCATTGGCAGTCTTGGCGCCAATCGGGGATCTTCCCGCGCGAACGTCCGGCCACGGCATCCCGGGCACAATCTGGTAGACGCGCATGCCTTCGCTCCACGAGATGCCACGCTCAGCCAGCAGCATTGGGTTGTCGCGCGCCATCTCCGCCATGGCCTCGCTGGGCAGCTGCACGAGCTGAATTCCCTGGCACGTCCCGGGGTTGTTGCTCTGCCCGTCCAGCAGCGTCCGCGTCCACCGGCCCCAGCAGACCTCACCGAGGCTCTCGTGCGGGCTCCGGCTGTGGCGACCCGGCTGCCCCACCGTCGTCGTCGTCGGCGGCGGTTGTTGCGGCGTCGATGTGCTCGACATGATGTTGTTCAGTTCAAAAGCACACTCTCGTTGTGATTGTAATGAACAACACTACCAGTACTATTCGTATTAAGACTGAGTTTGTGTTGGGTTGATCGTTGTACTGTACAGTATTCACTCTTTTTTTCTATTGTACCAATGGACGGCGATCGCGCGCCAAAGCAGCACCGCGCGCGCCAAGCCGGTAAAGCACGAGCTTGAAACGAGCAGTTTGCATCTGATCGGTTTGGTTGGGGTTGTGGGAAGCGGGGTTGGTGAGGTCGGGGTTTGGCTACTAGGGGCGAGGACCCTCGTGGACTCGTCGTAGTACAGCGCTCGTCTCTCTCAACGCACACACCGCCAGTGAAGCGCAACAGACGACAGTGCGATGGGGTTGATGTGTTCAAATGAGGCTGTGTTGTGAGGTGTGTGGAGAGCGGGAGAGTGAGTAGAAGAGAGTGAGAGTGACTGAGGGGGTGCATTGAGAGCGTTTTTCCACATGGTCTCACATTGGGAGCGTCGGGATGGGATGGGATGGGATGGGGCTGCAATGTCATTTGGAGCGCGACAAGGAAGGGGAGAGCAAATGCAGTGAGTGAGACGGAGCATTGAACGAGATCAACAAAGCAATGGCAATGGCGATGGCAATGGCAATGGCAATGGCAGTGAGGCAAAAAGGCCAGCCACATGGAATGGGTCACCCCCTCCATTGATGATGCATTGGAAACACACAAAAGTCAAACAGACAAGAACAAGAACATTGAACACGACATGCAGATGAAGCGCGAACAGCAACAAACAGCAGCAACCACCGGAAGCTGGGGGGGGGGGGAAGGGCTGAGAGGACGGGAACTGGAACTGACGATGGGTTGACATTCTAGGTCGCAAGGCGGATCGGAGGAGCAAGATTCAGAGCAAGAAGCACGTCTCGAGCTCATCCAAGGAGCACTTTGACGAAACACACGGAAACGACGCAGGCGGAGATGCAAGCAATGGCCATGGCGGAGACGGCGACGGCAAGAAGAAGAAGCTGCTGCCGTCCAAGACGCGCAACCCAAAGGCGTTCATCATGCAGTCAAGCGTCTATGCCATGAAGGCTCAGCGAAGGAAGCTCGATCTCGATGTACGCGAGGAATTGGAGCAGGGCAGGGAGTTGTTTGTTTTTTGCCGCAACACTCACACCTCTCATTCTCTCTGTCTCTTCCACACAGTCCAAGAAGATGCACCTGCCGATGCCGGATCGCACTCCAGTCGAGCCCCCGCCGATTGTCGTCGCAGTCATTGGACCGCCGCGCGTGGGAAAAACCACGCTGATCAAATCGCTCGTCAAGCGGTACACAAAGCACTCGATTGCCGAAGTCAAGGGCCCCATCACTGTGGTTGCCGGCAAGAACAAGCGCATCACATTCATCGAGTGCAGCAACGACCTCAACAGCATGATTGACTTGGGCAAAGTCTGCGATCTGGCACTCTTGCTCGTCGACGCCAGCTTTGGCTTTGAGATGGAAACGTTCGAGTTCCTGAACATTCTGCAAGTGCACGGCTTCCCTCGCGTCATGGGCGTCCTCACCCATCTCGACGGCTTCCGAAACAACAAAAAGTTGCGCACCATCAAGAAGAAGCTGAAAAACCGCTTCTGGACGGAAATTTACCAAGGTGCCAAGCTCTTCTACCTCTCTGGTCTCATCAACGGCAAGTACGTCAAGAACGAAATCCAAAATCTCAGCCGCTTCATTGCCGTGATGAAGTTCCGGCCGCTGGTTTGGCGATCGACGCACCCCTACCTCGTTGCCGATCGTTTCGAAGACCTGACTGATCCTGCACTGAAACGAGAAAACCCCAAGGTAGGTGTGAATGCAGAAGAAAAAATGTGTTCAGGAGCGCTAGGATGAGGAGGAGGAAGAGGAGGAGGAGGAAGAGGAGGAGGAGAAAAAAAAAGCGAGTTTTTTGTTGGGCTGCCAAACTGACCATCCTCCGAAACGACATCTCTCTCTCGATTTCGCTAAAACTTAGTGCGACCGTAACGTGACCATGTACGGGTACGTGCGCGGCACCAACCTCAAGCCTCGCATGAAGGTCCACATTGCCGGCTGCGGCGATTATTACATGCACTCAATCACAGCCGTGCCCGACCCATGCCCCCCTCCAGGAGCGTCCAAGAAGCGCACACTTAGCGAGAAGGAGCGCCTTCTGTACGCGCCCATGTCGGATGTCGGCGATGTCTTGTACGACAAGGATGCCGTCTACATCGAGATTGGCGGCAACGCGTCGAGCCGTTCGCGCATTGATGCCATCGCCGACGAGGAGCGCGACCAAGACAGCAAGCCATCGAAAGAAAACAACAGCGACGACAGCGATGAAGACGCCGAGCCCGAGGAAGAGGAGGCACCCCGCCGCGGAGATGGCGAGGAAATGCTCACCTCCCTGATCAAGACGCGTCACACCCTGAACGATCGCCTTGCTGACAGTGAGCTGCGTCTCTTTTCGTCCGCTGCACCACTCAAGTCGTCCGAGGTTGGCAGCATTTTTGCCGATGCCCAGAAGGCTCGCAAGAAGCATGCTGAAGACGAGGACGAGGTCGATGAAGACGACGATGACGATGAAGACGACGAGGACGATGAAGATCTCGACGACGATGATGATCTCGACGACGACGAAGATCTCGACGACGACGAAGACGACGAAGCCAATCACCAGTCCCGCATTCGCAAAGTTCGCAAACCCGCGGAATCACGCGTGACCGACGAGTCTGGTCGCACCCGTCGCCGAGCGCTTTTTGACGACGATGACGACGACGATGAAGATGACGATGACGACGAAGACGACGGCGACGACGATGAGAATGACGAGGATGAAGACGACGACGAGGACGACGACGACGACGACGAAGAAGAAGACGATGCGGAAGACGACACGCCCACACGGCGCGCCAATGTCAAGCAAACCAAAAAGCCCCGCACAATGCTTCGCCGAGAACCTGCAGTGTACCGCGAGGACATTGTTGATTCGGACGACCAGGAGGAGAACCTGGCGTTTGCGAGTAGCGAGGAGGAGCTGAGCGCGGACGAGGATGACATGGTGCACACTGGTGTGAACGACGACGACGACGACGACGACCAAGAAGACATGGACGAGGAGGAGGAGGAGGAGGACTCTGACGAAGAAGAGGAAGCCGCCCCAGCAGGCAAATCCAATGCCAAGCCCACCTCAACCTCAACGGCTCCCGTCGCGAGTGCTACGCGTGCGTTCGAAAGCGCCATTTCATCAAACAATCCGTTTGGCATTGAGCAAGGTTTGCTGCGATGGAAGCAGGACCTGAGCCGCAAAGCTGCAGAGGCGTTCAAGCTCCAGCGCATGCGAAATGTCATGGCGCTGGTGTATGGCTCTGGTCTCGGCACCAGTGCCAATGTGCGACAGCTGCTCGGCGGGCGACCCATTTTCGAGGAAGACGAGGAAAACCCGGACGAGGAAGAAGACGACCGCGATGCGGACGACAATCTGTTCAAACTGTCCAAAAACCTCGCTGCCATTCGCGCGAAACGCTCTGGTGTGCGCATTGACGACTCGTTCGACTCGTCGCGATTTGCCATTGACGATGAAGACATTGCCAAGTGGGACGACAAGGACTTCCGCGAGGGCATTCGCAACCGCTTTGTGACTGGCGCCTGGGACGAGGACGAGGACGCTGCCACCCTGCTGGCTCGTGCCAACGGCGTCACCCCCATCGATCAAGATGCAGATGAGGTGTATGGTGACTTTGAGGATGTCGAAGAGGGCAAGGTGTATCACGGCAAGAGTGTTTCCAAGGCCGAGGGCGACAGCGATGGTGACGACCAAGACGAGAACGGCGACAACGACGACGACGACGACGAAGACGGCCAAGACAACGTTGCTATGGATGTCGACGGTGACGACAACGATGCTGAGCGTCGTGCAAACGCAGAGCGAAAGAAACAGACCAAGGCAGAATTCAATCGTGAATACGACGCCGACGCCAACGGCCCTGGCAACAGCAACAACAACAACGAGTCGACTCACTTTGACGACCTGAAGCGCTCGCTGGATGAGCAGCAGCAGCTCAACCGAGCAGAGTTCGAAGAGGACGACGACGACACGCGTGTCATGTACGAGGGTTTCCGTCCCGGCCTTTACGTCCGCATTGAGTTTGTGCGGATGCCCGCCGAGCTCGTCGAGCACTTTGATCCCCGCTTCCCTGTCGTGCTGGGTGGCTTGCTCAACAGCGAGGAAAACATTGGCTTTATGCAGGTGCGCATGAAGAAGCACCGTTGGTACCGCAAGATTCTCAAGACGAACGATCCGCTCATCCTGTCGGTCGGCTGGCGCCGCTTCCAGTCCGTCCCCGTCTACTCGATTCAAGACCACAACGGCCGCAACCGCATGCTCAAGTACACACCTCTGCACATGCACTGCACTGCGACGCTCTACGGCCCGATTGTCCCGCCAAATACCGGTGTCCTCGCCGTGCAGTCCGTGTCAGACCCAACAGCGCAGTTCCGCGTGTCGGCCACCGGCGTTGTCATTGAGGTCGACCAGTCGTTTACTGTCGTCAAGAAGCTCAAATTGTCCGGCACCCCAACCAAGATTTTCAAAAACACGGCCTTCATCAAGGACATGTTCACCTCTGCCCTGGAAGTGGCCAAGTTCGAGGGAGCCTCCATTCGATCCGTGTCTGGCATTCGCGGTCAAGTGAAGAAGGCCCTGCCTGTAAGATTCCTTGCAAGAAGGTGTGATGTGTTTTTGATTTTTGTTTGATGGAGTTCTAATGAATGACCCTACCTGCCTTTGTAACTCAAATCCCACAGAAGCCTGAAGGTGCCTTCCGTGCGACCTTTGAGGACAAGATCTTGATGAGTGGTATGTGTATCTGACGTTTTGTTGTGTTTGTGATGTGTGCCTCCGACTCATCTCGAAACCCTTCGTTCTTTTGCTCTTGCAGACATCATCTTTTTGCGCGCTTGGTATCCTGTCAAGATGGTGCAATTGTACAACCCGGTGACGTCTCTGTTGTTGCGTGACAAGACGTCGTGGAAGGGCATGCGCACGACTGGCCAGGTTCGCCGCGAGGAGCAAGTACCAATTCCGACCAAGAACGACTCTGTCTACAAGGTTTGTAGTTTAGTCTTGCGATGCGTTGTTGTGCTGCTTTTCTTGTCGTGAGGCTTGCTGGCTCACCTTGATCTGGCTTGTTTCTCCTTCCCCTCCCCCTTCTCTTCTTCGCTCGTTCATTCACAGCCCGTTGAGCGCGTGGCACGCCACTTTAACGCACTCAAAATCCCGAAGGCTCTGCAGGCCGAGCTCCCTTACGCCTCCAAACCCAAGCTCCTCGCCGAGCGACAGCAAAAGTCGTACCTCACGAAACGCGCCGTCGTCATGGAGCCGATCGAGCGCAAGGTGTACTCGCTCATGCAACAAGTGCAGACGGTCAAGAACGAGCGCATCAAGAAACGCGCCGTCAAGCAGCGCGAGTCCAAAGCTCGCCACGCCGAGAAGCAAAAAGGCGAGCAGGACACACGTGAAAAGTACGACAAGATCCGCCGCAAGCGTGCCCTCGAGAAGATTGGCCAGAATGAATCGCGCAAAAAGGGCCGCTACGGAAACGGTGGTGGCCGCGATGCCGACGATTAAATGCCTTCGATATCTGGTTTCTATCATTTTGTACCATTAATCCAAGTAAATTCTGTCTGATTGTCATGAAAACCCAACGAAACCAACGCACAACTAAAAAATGTTGATTGATACACAATTCAGAACAAAAGAGATTCACAAACAGACAAAGAGAAGAAAAAAATGGAAATGAAAACTGCACACTCGTCGAATCCGGCATCCCAACATTAAGCAACAAGACCAAAAACATACCAAAGGACTACTCAAACTCAAGGAAGGACGTTCGCAGCTTTTTCATGTACCGCTGGAGCAAAATGTCAAAGTCACGAATGACAAAGGCGCAAACCACAAAGTACAGAAAGTCGCCCAGGCGCTTGAGCTTGTTCAGAATAGACTCGGCTGTTGGCTCGTTCTCTTGCCCCTCAAAGAAAGTCAGCCAGTCTTCCAAGAAGCTCGCCTTCTCGAATAGCCGGATGACCGTGTCAATGTATTTTGTGTCGTCTGCAATCTTTTCCTTCAGAATGTTGTGCTTTGCCCGCGAGACCTAACGTGACGAGTCAAACAAACAAAGGAGGAAATGAGACAGTTAGTTTAAGGTCAGTTTAAGAAGTGGGGGAAACCAAAAGCCTTGAGCAGGGTTGGCGACACTGAACGAGAACGAGCATTTACCGATTTCACGACACCATCCATCATGCTGCCAAGGCCCTTTGCAACAACGCCTTGTTGTTTGCTGCCTTCAATACTCAAATCCGATTCTGGAATGAAGGGCAACTTGCGCGAGAGGTTGTTTTGAACCTTGGCCAGAATCGTGCACAGTTCGTCGAGATCCCTGAATCCAAAATTAGCAAACAAAGTTAATGGAGCCTGTTTTGCACTACGTCCTCGCAACAACGCCGAGAGCTGAACGCACTTATCAAGCTTGTTCCAGCTGCCTCGGTCCTTCACATTCTCCTTGTCCATCTTCAACAGGTAAATGAGCGCCGTGTCGCAACTCATAAACTTGGACGACACACTGGTTAGCTTGAGACCTGTTTGGAACCACACCTGACGTGGCACGTAGCTGTGTTTGCATTCAAGGAGAAAGAGTGCAGGAAGGTGAGGATTTGAGAGAAATGCGAAAACGAACGGTTCAAAAAGCGCTAAGCATACAGCTTCGGGGTCAAATAACCACCGGTCGTCATGGTGCGCAGCAGGACCCTCATCAGCCAATATGGTCGATGAAACGGAGACGGCGGCGGCGGGTCGGGTGACGAGCCTGACAACAGCAAGAAGAACAAGACGCAAAAACGATCAACTCGTCGTGAATGCAACGCCAGCCAACAAAAAGAGCGCCGAGCCTCACCTTTTGGAATCGAGTCGAGCAGAAAGTCCAACGAGAAGAACGAAGTCTCGTCGTTGACGACGGGTCCGCTGCCAATGGGGCTCGCTGAGAATCCAGTCAACGAGAGTGGGCTGCCACCGCTCGCAACGCCGCTCATGCCAGAGCTCGATCCACCATACAAGTTGGACGTATTGGCAGCCAATCGCGCGGCCTCAATCTGGGCAATCCGGTCTTGGTACAACTGCGATGCGAGGTCGGTCGTAGTCGCGTATGAGTATCAGAGTGAGATTGAAGATTGTAGCAATGGTACGACTCGTTGTTTGCCGGACGTTACCTGCATCTTGGCTTGCAATTGATCCCGCTGTGCTTGGCTGAGCAATGTTGGCGTGGCGAGGTCTGGCGACGACAGCAGCTGTGGTAGCAGTCAACAAAAATCAGTGAGAAAATCAGTGAGAAAAATCCTCAATAAAATGGTAGGAATCGGTTGCCTCGATTAGTTATCTTTCCGTAACGATACACGGTTTTTTAACCATCTAACTTTGTTACCAATTTGACCGTTCTCTTCCACTTCGTCCCTCCGCTGCCCCTCAACCCCCCCCCCCAGCCCCCAATCCACCCAAATCGCTTTCTACTCCAAACGACCCACACTCTTGATTCCCCCAAATGACCCTCGGGCGAGGTCTGACATTGACCTCTCTTCGTACATTCACTCTCTCTCTCTCCACTCTCCACTCTCTCCCTCAACTCACCTCGATGGACTCGCGGTAGGCAGCAACAGCAGCAGCAGTGTCGCCGTGCTCGTCGTGACCAACGCAGCCTGCGCTCGAATGACCGCCCGTGCCAGCACAGTCCAGCCAGCCTCAGGCATTCTCACTCCGGAAAAAAAAAAAAAAAAAAAAAAAAAAAAAAAAAAAAAAAAAAAAAAAGAGTGAACTTGCAAAAAAACTCAGATTCGCAAAGTAAAAATAACAATAGACAGTATATTGATTGTGTGCATCGAGCGAAATCCTCAAAGCGTCAGATCTGCTGCTTTTTTGTTTTAGCTGCCACCGACGAGCAGCGCACGGAATTCGGCAACACGCTGCCAGAGCGCTTGACGCTCGCGCGGGATGGTCGAGAGCAAATCGTCGACGAGAAGGACGCCTTGCGCGAGGGCAGTGCGGCGAACAACACATCGCAAATCGTTGCACTCGGCCGCGAGCGAGAGGTTGACGCGATGGTGGGATGGCTCGCAATAGAGGTGAGCGCGTCGCATCAGCGGTTCGATAACCTCGAGGAAGCACCAGTAAAACTGCACTGGTTCCTGCTCAAAGATGACGCGAATGGCAGCCGAAAACGCATCGGGGGATTTGCGCCCGGTGGCGAGTTGCAGCCCGAGCGACTGGATCTGATACTCGAGGTAGTTTGGCATGGCGCGCATCGCCTCAGACTCTGGCAGGTTTGCTTTCGACAGCACGGTGCGAATTTCCCGCGCAAGTGACTCGAGCGGCTGGAGCAGCGCGGCATCGTCGACAGGGAGCGGCTGCGTGGACGACCAGCACGGCTCGAGAATCGGCTCTGCGAGCAAGGCAACAGTTTCCAGGACGGCTGTGTGAGCGGCCAGCGTCGCAAAATCGACATACACGGACGGCTGAGGCGGTCGCGCAATTCCAGGGATGCCTGCGAGGACGATGCGCAGCGTTTTCTCGTACAGACTCTCGAGATGCAGCATCCAGACCGCGCCGATTGTGCCGATCCGAGCACGCAGCGTGGCGCTTGAGGGGCTGAAAAACATGCCCTGCTTGCCAACGACCACATCGCAAATGTCCTTGACACTGGCTGGCGTCACGTTGCCCAAATCAAACGACCACAGAAGGGCGACACGGCCGAGCAGATCGGAGACGACATCGTAAAACTCGACGCGGGTGGCGACACTCGAGTTGATCACCGTTGTGCGAATGAGGTGGATTGAGCGACGGCGTAGTTCGGCCAGCTTGATCCGTTGCGTGCTTCCAAATACCTGCTGCACAATGCCAGGCAGCTGGCGCTTGGTTTGGGCGACAACAACATCCGCGGTGTCGCTGGGATTCAGCCAAGGTTCAAAGCTCGATTGGCACGCCTTGCACAAGAAGCGATTCGCGACACTGTCAGGAACGAGACGCGACCGTGCTGGAGAGGGCGGCGGCGTGCTTGCTGCAACTACATTAGACCCAGCTGTGGACATTGGTGCAGAAGCAGAAGCAGATGGCCGTAGACCGACTAATGCATCCGAGAAGCAGGTCGGGCAGTGGGGCGCCAATCGATCAGGCAATCGCTCACCGAGACGTGGGACTGTCAGCGAGCTCCGCATGTCCTCAAAGGCCGGCACGTCCGATGCGATGAAAGGCACGACGTCCGTCACAAACCGCTGGCAGTCGTGCAGCTGAAGACTGGCAACAACCAGTTTCTTGACAAAGAGAAAGTAAAACCGCGAAAAGGCGCGGTAGCGAGCGCTCAACGGCGAAATGCTGACCAGCACGAGCGCCGGAAGCTGGGTGGCGGCGGTGCATCGGGTCAACCGTGTGAGCGCAGCGACATCTGTTTCCGATAATCCGCCACGCTCTGCCACCGCGTCTGCAGACACAGTGTACCACAAAACGTGAATGCCACCAATGAGGGCCTCGGCCTCGGAATACTGGTCTTTGACGGCCGCTGGCGACAAGTGTCGTGCAATTTCGAGCTGTGATTGCAGATTGGCTGTCAGATGGTCAATCGTGAACATGTCTGTTTCTAAGCCTGGGGAGTCGCAGATGGTCATTCCGGAAGCGGCACAGTCGACAATGACAAAGCGGCGTGTTGGGGCCGGTGTGTGCTCGAGTCCGGCGAGCGTCGCGGCCAGGGTGGACTTGCCGGTATTTCGGAGGCCGCAGAGAAGCACCACCGGTCGAGTGGCAAGGCTCGAGACAAGCCGAAGCTCGTGATACAGTGCCACCTGTGCCGCATGCTGCTGCCGACGAATTTGGACGAGCAGGGACGAGGCGTTCAGCGGGGTGTGGACGGATGAACGCAGGACTGTTCGCATGCGTGCGAGCGTATAGGACAGACCGGGCGTCTGACCGATCCTCCAACTAAAGCTGTGCCGAAGCAATTGTCGAAGTTGAGCGTTGATGGGATCTGGAAGGCTGGATGAGGTTGTGTCGAGCGGGGCATAGACGTAGCTTGCCTGGAAGGAGGCTGCAAAGGCGCGCATCTCTGGCTCCCGAACAACAAGCGCTCGGCGAGAGGCGGAACCAGCATGGGAGCGGCGAGACGTATCACAAATGATCAAAACAGGCAATTGGGTGCCAGCGGTCGATCTGGACGTTCGAAGGGCAAGTAGCGCATCAAAGACTGACTCGTAGCCGCGTCGATCGCAGGCAGAAAAGACAAACAAAAACCCATGCGGCGCCTGTTCCGGGGCCGCGCCGGCCTCTGAATCGCATTGCACACCCTGAATGACGATATCGCGGAATGTTGTGTCGCCTTGCCGTGTGATGGTGGGTGCTGAAACCCGCGTCACCAGCCCAATTGCCGCTGCGATTTCAGAGTCGGCATACATGGCTTCTGGGCCTTGGCACCAAGTCATGGCGATGCGGACGGTTGCCTCGGCACTCGTGGCAGAGTCGACTGTAGCAGAGTTGACTGGTTCCGGGGCCCGTGCAGCACGAACATTCCGGCCAATCCACGGCTCATCCATAAATACATCGAGAGGGTTGTCGTGCAGCAGCACAGCCAGGCCAGTGTTTTGGTCGAGAGCTGGGGCAAGTCGGTCATAGTCCATGTCGGTGAGTTGGTTGCGTGAGAGATCGAGCACGCACAGCTCCTTTTTCAATTCTGGACGCAGACACGTGTTGATTAGCAGAAGGGCGGCATGGCCATTGATGCCATTCTGCTGGAGTGACAAAACTCGAAGCTTGCGGGCATGGTCGGACAGGGTTTGCAAAAATTCGAGGAGGTCGTGCAAGGGCTGGCCGCTGGCGTCGGTCATGGCCAGGCAGCACGCATTCAGGTAAAAGGCAGTCAAAGTGCGGCCACAAACCATGACAAGCTTGCCAAGCATCGGCAGGGCAGCGTTGGACAGCGGGTTGTCGGAAAAGTCCACAACAGCGAGATGCGCGAGATGCGGGATGGCAGGCGGGCGAACGTCTGGCGAAAAGTGCGAAGCAATCGACACGAGCGAAATTACGCCAGCAGAGACGTTGGATGCCTCGGGCGCAGCACAAGACGATGACAGGAAGGCGGCCAGCGCTCCATCGTCGACGTTGTTTCCGGCGAGCAACAGCGCGACTCCAGCATGCGTGCTTGACGACGCACCTTGGCTGCGATTGTCGGCAGGCCAGCGCCACCGCTCGAGCCATAGCGCGAGTTCTGCAGCACCAGCGCGCGAAATGAAATGGCCGCCGCAGCAAATCACACGAAGCGGCTGATGAGCGCTCATTGTGGAAGTCACTGAGGAGTCGTTCAAGTGGAGTCCCGTGGAGCCAAGCTGCAATTGCCATTCGCACAGATACGAAAACCCGCACGTACTTGCAATCTCAGCCAGAACGCTCGCTGGAATCTGTGGATTGCCAGCGAGGTCGATCGAAATGATTGCCGGCGAGACCTGCGCGGCACTGAGCAGCGATCGAGCGCCCAGCGCGGTGATTGCGCCGTGCTGGATGCTTATGTGTGATATTGGATGTTGTCCAGCGAGTGTTTCCATGGGGTATCCGTCTGCAGTGAGGTTGCTCCGTTCGGGGTCCAAGCAGCGAATGTTGCGCGACTGGATTGCTTCAGCCAGCAGCGTCACGGCCGCATCGTTCATCCGGCCGCCATAGTTGGTCACGACGACGCTCTGGACGAACGGCGACTGCGACGGCTCGCCAATCTGCCACGCCAGGCGCCGGGTGAGCGGCTCAGCGTCCGCCGACGCAGTGAGAACGAGCTTGAGTGTCGTTGCGTCTGTGAACGACGACGGCAGTGACGACGACGGCAGTGATGCAGCTGACATGAGCGCCATCATGCTGCCAGTACTTGCTGGTCGCTGCGGCTGAGGCTGTGGCTGTGGCTGTGGCTGAGGGACTGCAGCGACCAAGCTTGCGAGGGATTCTGTCTGAGCAGCAGCGACGTGATCGTCCTTCTGAGCACTGTGATTTGTATTACAATGAGTATTATCACTATCAGCGCCGTTCGAGTCGATCGCCGGCAAAGACTCGAAAACTTGGTCGTCGTCGTCGTCGTCGTCGTCGAGCCTCGAATTGCTGCTCATTCAACTTGGAGACTTAGTGGAAAATTGCTTGTTGTTTGAAGAGTGAAACGAACAATGAATGAACAAACGCGTACATAAACACAAACGCGTGCAGACACGATACGAAATAAGCAGTTCAGCGGGATGGTCTGCGGGACTCATTGCTTGGGGCCGCGGGCAGAGCGCAAGCGGCGCTGGACGATGCCGAGCGCTCGATTGTGCAGCTTGTCCCAGGAAGTATACTGCGTCGCCAGCGGAGCTGCGTTGGGCTCGAAAATGGCATCCAACATCTCAAGAAGCTTCTCGCTCTGCTCAAAGGTGATGGAGTCTTGCGCGGTGGCGGTGGGGTCCAGGAGCGGCTCGATGCTCGAGTCTTCCATGTTGGATGTCGCCCGATCGGTCAGCTTGATGCGGCGGATGTGCTCGTACTCGCGGGCAATGATCAACACCGGCACGGCGACGAAGGCGGGCAAGCAGACCAGACCGGCTTCGGTCGCAAACGAGACGTCCGGCGGACTGACGACAAAGAAATGCAAATTCACCAGCACAATCTGGCCCACCCAGTACAGGCCCATCACCACAACCAAGCGGCGAATGTCTTGCTGCTCCCATGGGTCGCATCGGCTGCGAGTGCTGTAGCCCACGATCGCCGCCACGAATGAGGCGAGAAACTCGACCGCAAGCAGGACAACATGCCACACGCTGCGGTAATTGTCGCACACCACAACAGCCTGAAGACTGTTGGCCACACCCTCGGCCAGGGTCTTTTGCGAGAGAAAAGTGCCAGAGCCGCCAAAGTAAAATGAAATACCGACGACAATCTCCAGAATTGTCAGCCCAATCAGTGGCGTCCAGTGCACGGGCAATTTTGGGAAGAATGGTACTCGGAAGGGAGTGGCTCGATGCACGTCCCAGTAGCTGTCAAAAGAAAATTTCGGGGATTGGTGGTGATGAGAAAGAGATGAGTTGGAGGAAGAAGAACAAGTTCACGCTCAAAATTGTCGGGCCAACGAATGCACCACAACGAATCAATTCACAAACCAGGCAAAGCGCTCAACTCACCGAATCAGAATACTGATGATGGCACCAATCCCGAGCGCGCAGCCAAAATGGGACAAACGAAAGTTGACGACGCAAATGGTGTCGGTTGGAGGCCGACTGCTGCCGAAAGGCTGGGCCGCCACCGCAGCCAAGCCAAGCAGCATGATGAGCAGAAAATGGGAAGTCGCCCAGAGTGTCTGGTCCTCAAACAGGGTGGCGCGACGGAATGTGGACAGGCCACCATACCAAAACACCTTGCCAGCGCCATAGCCAAGAACCAAGATGGCCAGCACCGCCACGCTCATGAACGCGACTTGGGAAGGCAGGCTGACGTTGAGCAAGGTCTGCGAGTTGCGGTCGCTGGCGCCATCTTTCAGAGTCAGCCAAGCGGGATTGATGCAGTTGATGGTGCCCGGTTGGCATTCTTTAAACACGATGGCGGACGCACTGGTCACAAAAGACTGTGCAATCAGGTCGAGCTGGGAGTAGCCGTTTGTGGCGTTCCCAGTCACAATGACTAGGGAGTTGCCTTCCAGCTCGCCATCGGGACCGAGAGCATATGAAATCCTGGTTGACTGGACGACGCTTGCACTGTTCATCGTGAAGGACCAAGTCAAAACGAGAGCACACGAAAAACAAAAGGTCAGTCAAAACCAGACGCAAAAAAAAACCAATCGGGAACAATACACTGCACGCCGGGAAACAAAAGACACCTACTCGTAAAAGTACGACATGAGCAGGTCGCGGGGGAAGATTTTGCAAATGGTCGTGTTGGAGTGGGCAGATCCGCTCGTGCAGTTGGTGATTGTCATGGTGCAGCTGCTCTGGTCTGCGTCCTTGTTATAGACGCACGCTGTCACGTTGTGATTGCACAACTGCAAATCGTACGAGCACACATGCCCCGACGAGGTCGAGTTGACACACACATCGGGTGGCGTGAAGGTGCAGCTGTCGTCCTTGTGGTCGGGGCAGACGTTTCCAGCAAAGTAAACGGTGGTCTGCGAAACTGGCACGCAGCTCATTCCAGTCGAGTTGCACAGTACGCGAGTGTAGTCATCGGACGCGGCGCATCCAATGCTCGGCATCATGTGTGGGCAGGTCGCAAGAACGGACTGGATGCTGTCCGTGCACGGAACGTTCGGAATGCTGTTGAGAATGACGCCAATTTTGAGTCGGTCGTGACAATCGGGAAACTCGCACGTGCTGACAAGCACTTGGCGCTGGATGGCACAATCCCATGGCGTGCGTACAAGAGTCGTCAAGCAAGAGAGGTTTTTGTTGTTCGAGATGAGCGCGACGGCCGTTCGCTCGAGCGCCTGCATCAAAAACTCCCCTGCAAGATAGCCGCCCAGTCCGGAGGTTTCTGTGGGCGACACGTCCTTAACGAATGGATAGTACGGAGCGGAGGAGTTGAAGCAGGACTTGAGCGCCGTCAAGTTATTGAGCAAGTCCTGGGTGACGGCAAAGTATGCCTGCGCCCCAATAAACCCGTCCAAGGTGTGAACGACGCCTGGATCAAGATCAGTCGTGTTGGATACTTCGATGGCGGCCACGGCTGCGTCAAAGATGAGGAAGGTGCTTTCCAGCTGCCAGGTCTGGTTTGAGCACACATGCACCAGGGTCTCGAGCACGCTGATCGTTCCGCAATACGCAATGACGCGAGCACCGCTGTCGGCGATCTGCTGGCAGGTGTCCCTCAACCCGTTGGTGGCGACAAGATCAGAGCTGTTGGCCTGGTAGCGCGCGATGAGGGTAGTGTCGATCACGACATCGCACAAGACATCAGTGTCGAAGCCGGCTGCCGTGGCAACAATCGACCTCAAGTCGATACCGTAAAGATCCGAGGACGAGACAATGCCAAGGTGGGACCAGCCCAGCAGCGAGAACACGCGCATCATGGCATCCACCTGGAGCTGGTCAGTGACGATACTGCGCACAAAATACGGGTAGGTTTCTGCGTCTGTCAACTCTGTATCCGAGACCATCGAGGAGATGCTCGGCACGGCAAGTGTGGAGGTGACACCGTCCAGCTATTTTCAAAGGTTCAAGGAACAACCGCCAAAAACCAGCAACAAGCGCGGTGAGATGGGAGGGTGGTGGATGGGGGGGGGGGCAAATGTGGCAAAGCACTGAAACAGAAAGAAGCCACTGCCTGCTTTGACTTTTTGACTTACAGGGATGGCGACAGAACTGTTGTCCACGATGCAAAACCAAACAATTGGTCATTGGTCAGCCACAACCAAAACAATGCCCGCCTTGCCAATCTCAAGGCGGTCGCACATGTAGCACGTAAGCCTACCTCGAGCTGGGACCGACAATTGCGACCAGGGGTGTGTGGTAAATCATGGAGCGCGCTGCCAGGAGCGCGGTGACGGTCGTTGCCTGATCATCCATCACTTGAATTTGCAAATCCACGCCCAGGTCCCTCAATGCTTGGATGTGTTGTGTATACGCCGCAAGTGTGCCATAGAGCGCTAGCAATCACACATCCGACGGAGCGTCACCAAAGATGGAAACCGGTAAGTTTCTAAACTAAAGTTTCGTGTTGGCGCGCTTTTACAGTTTGATCGAGGCAGCTCAATCAAAATCCATACGACAAAAAAACTTGTTGTTGGTTACCTTCACGACTATCAGCAGCAATATCATCTGTATGTGCGTTGCAAGATGGAGGCAAAGTCAGAAAAGGTCAGCTTCGGGATTCTCAGCAATGTAGCGCACGCAGCCAGCCACTCTGCATCAAGCAAGTCCGCTCGGCCACCACGCCAACAGTCGAGCATGGAGAAAAACGAATGTCGCATAATACACTGTTCTTGATCTTTCCGCCTGCTGGAGTAACTTGCCTGATGAAGCGGTCAGCGAGAGGATGATGCCCACGTTCCATGGCACGAGCGCAGTGCCGTTCCACGCTGCGGGGCACACTGGCGCAGATGATGATGCAGCGTCGAGTAGTGCATCTCCATTGGATGGCGACACGCAGGCCACGAGCACGGTCAGCAGAGGGAGCAGCAGTGGCAGCTGAGCGAGCATCCGCCTTGATCGCATTTTGGGCGAGTTTGGAGTTTGCTGGATCGACTTTGGAGCGACCTCTTTTGTTGTGAATTGGGTTTGTAAATGGTTGAAGAGTGAGCAAACAGCAATGCATGACAGTCGAGGAATAGGAGGATTTAACATTGAGTCAAAAAAAAATCGGATTGGAACAAAATCACAGTGAATCAATCAATCAATCGAGCAACCAAAAGCATTCGTCGGAAAAGAAAGGTCTACTTGTCAGGATCGGCCATCACAGACTCCCGAGCACTCGCTGCACTGGCTTTGGCGGCGTTGAGTGCGGCAGATACGCGCTCGGAGAACATGGCATGCGCAATTTCGCGAACAGCGGCTGCAGATTTGCCTTCGGTCTGCACGCCAAATTGAGCGCCATCCACAGGCTCGGCCAAACAGTCAGTCGAGAAACAAAGTGCACCAAGAGATGCTTCAGACAGTGTGCTCAGCCACTGCGTCAGAATGGCATCCTGCAGCTCGAGATTCCGCTGAGACCGCCGCTTGGAAAACACCCAGCTTTGTTGCGCAACCGTCGCCATGCGCAGATAGACCAGACGGAAGATGGACCACATGTTGGAGTCTGACCAAGCAAAGCGCAACGCTTCAATCATTTCAGCGACGAGCCGCGTGTGCACCTCCAAGTTCCACACCGTCACGTCTTCGAGCGCCGCTTCGTGGCTGCTGGAGGCATCGGTTGCCGTCACGAGTGACAGCGCGTCCCGGAAGCGATCCATCGCCGTTTGATCCACAGCTTGCAGGCGATGCGGGCGCCGTTGCTCCTCAAGCAGCGTTTGCTGTCGAACCAAGGCTGAAACCGACGTCCTGGTGGTCCAAACAAGACCAGGGACATTGTCGTACTGCAAAAGAACTGCCGGTCGGTTTGGGCAGCCTGACAGTGCTGTGCCTGCAATGAGCACGCAGACGGCGTTCCGATACAGCGCGCTCAACGACTCTGCTGACGGGAAGGGCGCTTCTTCCCGCGGCTCGCCTTCGGTAGGAGCGCGCGCCTCGCCAACAACGCCAGTAAAGCACAAAAACCGCTCAATGAGCGCGCCGATTCGAGTACGCCACGATTGCATGTGCGGGTGGCCGTCCACGTCCAACCAGCCGATGGACAGGCAGTGTGTGGAGCAGGTGCGATGGCTCGACGCTCGCTGTCCGTCCACAGCCACCTCGATGCAGCACGCGTGAAGAAGCTGGGCAAGTGCCTTGACAAGTGCATCTGCAAGAACGGGGAAGCGCAAAACAACCTGCAACCGCTGCATCTGTGTCTTGTATGCGACTGCACCACCGCCGAGCTGCGGTGCCCGGGCAGAGTGGCTGCTGCTGAATTGGGCCTGCTCAACAAGCTGCTCGGCCTGCACGAGATCGGTCAGCTGGAGATACTTGTCCCAAAGCAGAGACACGGCCGCCGCATCGAGCAAACCGACTTGTTTGCGTGAGGGCAGGACGGCAGGAGAGTCGCTTGGCAGCGCTCCGCTCAGATCCAACACCGGGCACGCCATACCGGCAGTCTCTGCCGTTTTCCTGGCCGTTTCCCGCCAGAATTGCGCCAGCAAGAGCCAGCGCGTGCACTCGATGCGCTCTGCTTCGGGCGACACGCGCCACTCGCGAGCAATGTGATGAATCAATGTTGGAAGCGTCGCATCCAATCCGAGGGACGCGATGGAACTCGTGGAAGGGAGTTTGACATGTTGAATAGCGGTGGCCGAGTCGTTATTGGCCGCTGAAGAAGCAGAAGAAGAGGAGGAAGAAGATAAAGGGGACTCGAGCACAAGCTTTTCGCAAACCACACCCAGCGTCGAAAAGAAGGCGCGGCAGGAATGCGTTTTGCACTGCCCTTGAATCACCGAAGCAAGCGATTCTTCCTCGTGAGTGGACGACAAGAGCTGCTCTGCAAAGCGGATGAGGTCGGCACGCAGTTGGACTTTGGAGAGCATGGCCTGCTCGCGGTACTTGAGATAAGGCGTCACATGTCGATCGACGCAGCGCGCTCCGCTGGAAAGGAGAGTTGGCGCGCCACGCAACGTGCCAAGTGGCTTGCCGCACCTTTGTGCAGCCGATGATCCAAAGAACAGGGACGGCGCGTCGCCCTCCGCCCCCGAAGCTTGGGAATCAGTCGCAGCGGTACTGCTGTTGCTGTTGCTGTTGTTGCTGCTGCTGCTGCTGCTGGTCTCCGGCGCTTCAAGAACGAACGGGCAGCAAAACTTTTCCACAATCTGCGCCTTGACGGCGGGGCTTTCGAGTGCCCGTTGGGCATTCAGGCCTTCGGTTGGCAACCCACACGCCAAGGCCGTTTGGATCAAGTAGTCGACACCTGCGTACGAAACGTCCGAACGCGTCATTGGGAGCACAGCCTTCACGTGCGCTGGCCACTTGCCCCACGCCGGACGCATGCTCGCTTCCAGCTTGCGGACGTCGCGCTGAAACTCGACATGGGTCATTTCATCGCAGTGTGTTCGCACAAAAATGACGGGCAGCTCGGGAAGCCCTAGCCTTTTGGCGAGCGCTGGCACCGTGTTGCACACAAAGTCGACCACGACCGGATCCACTCGATGGAAACTGTTTGTGACATACCACAACATGCGCACGTTGTGTGTGCGCGTGTACTCGACGATGCTTTCGATTTGAGAGCGGGACTCTTGCTCGTCGGCCCGCTGCTGTTCAGCTTCGCTGGCCGAAACAGGTGCGTCGCCAGCCTCGAAGCCTTTGGTGTCGACCAGCAGCAAACGCCCCATGTAGTTGTGCACCGTGTTGGCCTGCGTGACACCGCCGACATTTTTCAAAGTGGCGACTTGAGCGACCTCGCGCCGGAATACCGAGTTGATGAGGGTGGATTTGCCTGCTCGAGATTTGCCAAACAGGACAATCAGCGGGAGCTGTGGGCGGGGGCTGGCGCGCTGGGCGGCAGGGTTGGAGCGCGCTGGAGGTCCCGCCTGAAGCCGAACGCGTGCGGAAGAGGGGCGCCGGTTGCACTCAAACCAGTCCAGCGTGTACTGGACGCACCAGGTTGCAACGACATGCTCGAACGTCACTTGTGCGGGAATTCGATGTGCCAGACGGAGGAACGGGCACCCAAACATGCGGGCAAGCTCCCGACCCTCGCGAGCCAGCACCGCCCGGCCAGCATAGCTGGGGAAATCTTCCTCTCGAGTGGCAAGCAGCAGCACGGGTCCAGAGTACACGGATCGCAACGAGTAGAATTGAAGCGGCAGGTCATCCAACGTCCTCCGATCGTGCTCGTTGTAGCAAAGGACGAGAAAATGAGGCAACGCACGCTCTGCCTCGAGCTTTCCGATCGTTTCAATGATTGTGTTGACTTGTTCGGCTGAGTGGAGTGGGTGCAGCGATAATTCCAAAAAAAATCAGAAATCAAACGTTCAAGCGCCACCAAAACGAAAAAGCACAAAAAACCGAACGAAAACCGAACAACAACTACACAATCACCCAGAACGAACACCAACGCAAGTTACCTTGGGTGCCGCCATCAAAAATGTGCTTGGTCTCAACCACAACGTCGAGTGACCCATGAATCATCGGGTGAGTTGCTTTGCCGAGGCATGCTGCCAAATCTCGCTTGTCGGAACCGTTGCGAGCAAGTCCTGGCACAGCACCGATAAACAGCCCTCGCATGGTAAAGGGGACCCGGTGGGTTGTGTTGGATGCGTCTGTACGCTGGAAGAACAGCTGATTGGCCGCGTCGATTTCGTCCAGCAGAGGCGCATAGGAGCGCGTCGCAAAATGGTGAAGCTTGAAATCCACCTCGAGATTGTCGACGTGATTGTCGCGAAGATCAAGCAGCAGCGTTGACGGAGTGGAACTGGTGGCCAAGGACTCCAATTCGTCCAGCACAGCTCGCACGCCGCTTGCACCAAGTTGATTCTGGCGCAATTGTACAACGACGGGTCGCTGCTGTTGTTGTTGTTTGGATGTGGTTGCAGAACTCGATATCTGCTCTTCCGTTGGTGCGGCTAGAGTGTCTTCTTCGGTCGTGGGACTCTCCGCTGGTGCCATCGGCGTTTGCGCCTCCACTTCAACTACCGATGCTGTAGCAGCTTCGACTGGAGCTGCCTGCGCTGTCGATTCAACACCATGCGATGAGGCAAGTTTGAATGAAGAGTCAGTGCCAACCAACGGCTCGGCCAATGATTCCTCCAAACTCTGAAGATTGACGTGAACCTCAGGCTTGTCGCTTGATTCACCTAGATGGGCCAGAACGCGCAGCATTTGAGTCAGATTGGATGCACTTGCAGCCGTAATCTTGTTGGCGTTCAGAGACACGTGCTGGAGGTGCTTGAGGTTGGGGAGCTGGCTGAGAAAAGTCGTCACGTCGGCGAACGCAAGCAAGTTGTCGTCCAAGATGGCAACCCTCAACGCGGCAAGGCGAGCCAGCTCGGAAAGCGTCGAGTCATCCAGCAGATTGTTGGAGAGGTCCAGGTACGCGATACACTGCAAGGGAATGGAGTTGAAGGCATGCGTGTGGCCCAGGCTGTTGCCAGCGGCCAGCAGACAAAGATCAGACGGGCTCTCGGGCAAGTCGAGGATCCTCGAACAAACCGCACTCAAAACCCCCTCCTCTTGAATACCAGAGCAGGCAATGGTCGAGCGAGGCTGTTTCAGTCTCGCGTATTGCTGCTCAGCCTCCGGCTCGGTGCTTTTGGGAGGAAAGTAACCATACATGCCCAGCAGCTCGGCCTCGTCGGCGGGCTTTCGCAGTGTAAAGTGAAGGTAGGCCTGCAGTGCCTCTCGTTGCAAGCGAAGCGCTGTTGGTGCCAAATCCCGCTCCATACGCGACCGCACATCGTTCGTTGTTGTTGTTGTTGGGGCCAGGCTGGTACTCCCACTCGGTGGCAGCACTTCAAAATGCAACACTTGGTTGCTGGCGCGCATGGCAAGCCCCAACTCGTCGAGCGCGCTCTCGTCCCAAACTCCGGGATTGGAGTGGACAACGACAGACCGGAGAACGGGATGGAGGCCGTAGCGGGTTTCCCGAGCGCGCCACGCCTCGAAATGCAGCGCCAACTCGGACAGTCCCGTTCCGGAAATGTTGCAATTGGAAATGTCCAGCGTGTCAAAGATCAAAAAGGTGTGGAAGAGCTCAAACACTTCGCGAAGGCCCTTGTCGCCGATCGGCGTGCCGGCAAAGACGAGTTTTCCGACACGTCGAGTCGCAATGGAAACGGGACTCGACGAGTGCGAGCTCCCCAGCAGTTTAAAAGCTCGGACGAGCGTCTGCATCGCCGAATGCACAATTTCGGCGACTTGTTGCGACGTTGGCGGAGGTCCACGGCGCTTGGCGGCTTGAAATTTGACGGCATCGCAATGGAACACGACTCCGCCTCCGGCGTGAAACGCGTCCGGGCTATCGTCGCGCTCAAAGTCCCACTGCTGAGCAGTCTGCAGCTGGGAGGGCAAAGTCACGGCCGCGGCGGCGGGTTGGTCTGCCTGCTGGCTCGTAGGCGACTCTGCTGGATTTGCAGGGGGATTTGCATTCGCAGTGTCTGCAGCAGGCTCGGTCTGCGCCGGCGTGTCATACTTGAATTGCGAGCTAAACCGGGTCATGGCTTCCACCAGAATAGCGATGCGCGTCTCGCGGCGGTTGAGCGAGTCGCGCTCGACCACGAGTGGCGGCTGGGTGGACGACGACGACTCGTGCGGACTGGATGGACGCGCATTGGGATGAAGACCGTCGCCTCGGTCGTCGCCTTGAGGAGCGGATTGTGACGATGGATGCGCGGAGGTCGCCACGCAGCATGCATAGAAGAGCGCATTGCAGCCAAGCGTCGGATGCACAGTGTATGCGAGGTGCGGCGCGTCGCGAAGCAGTTGCCTGAGCTCGTCTGATGCGGATCAGACAAACCAAACAAACAAACAAACACAAAGGCGTAAGGACTCGTTGTCGATTCAAGGAGGCTTTTAAATCAAGGCATGTCGCATTTTGGTACCTGGGGGTCGTTCCAGCGTGCGAAACACGCGAACGTCGGCCATCACCAAGAATGACCAAGAACAAGAGGAGTGGTCACATCGAGTGTCTCGTATGTGTGTGTGTGCGTATTTTGACATGAAGGCATCGTTCCGACAATATGCTCAGGAAACAACGGCGACGACTCGAAAGCAACCGCCGCAACGATGCTTACGAGCAGTCGAAGGCGGTACAAATGTCCCCACACACATAGTCTTCGTCGGGCTGATGCAGGTCGAAATAAGCAAAGACAAAATAGAAGAACATGAAAAGCCTTGCAAAAAAGTGGCAATAAAAATGCCCACGCTGCAGAAGATCGAGGACAGCAATGATGGGTGAAGGCAAGAAAAATCGCCGAGACACAACAAACTTCCGCCAAGCAGCCGATCGACCGCCAGCCCCTGACAACCTGCTTAGCCACCATTGGAGAACTAGAAACTCACGCTTAAAGTTGAGCATGGCCTTGGAGAGGCGCACAAAGCAGCTGGGGATAGAAACGGAACGCTAGCGACAACCGATCGAACGCACAAACAGTTGCACAATGCTTCAAAGTCGAACTCAAAGCATGGACTTCCTCAGCGCTCGCCAGACCAGTGTCGAGACCACCCAGTCCGAGTTCATGCAGCATGTGGGGTTCCTGAAGTATGAGGCAGCGAAAGGTTCAAAGGGCGGAAGTCTTCACGAACACATTTCTCTCGGCTTCCAAAAACGAACAGGCCAGTCTTCTTTCACATGGCGTCCGGATTCAAGCGCACGGCAATGGAAGCGGGCTTCCAAGGACCAGCTTCTCAGCACGCTCATCGGGTAAGTGTTGGACTTGCTGAAGGCGACAAAGTCGTGTTCGTTTTCCGTAGAAATGGGCTTACTGTGTTGCGTTTTGTGTTCCTTTTGCTCAACAGGTTTTCAGGTAATGTGATTGCACTCGTCGTTATTGGTCTTGTTTGCCTTTCAGCTGAAGCTGCCTTCATTGCATGCGCTTTTGACAGTGAGCTGCTGTCCGGATTGGTCGCATGTCTTGGTATCTCGGTCGATTTGACATCGATTTCAAACCTCCCCAACAAACCTGCCCAACGCGCTGCCCTGAAGGGAATTTTGAAAGACCTCGAAGCCAATGCACAGGTCACGGCAACTCAGAGGCAGAAAAAAGACGCGGCAGCAGCACTCAAGGAACTGGAATTGGAGGTTTCGCCAGGACAGCCGAATTTCGTGATTGGTGGCCAATTGCTCCAGACGCTCAAAACTGAGCTTGACCTCAAGGTTTCTTTGGACCAAGCCCAGCTGCGAGCCGCGGCTGCCCGGCTGCGAGCCGCAGCGCTGCGCGGGCCGCTTTCAAGCGAACCGCCTTCAAGTAAGCCTTGTGCTTGGAAATTGTCATGTTGATGGCGATTAGTCCTACTGACGTTTAGTTTGTCTGCTTGTTTTTCTTTCACTATCACTCAACAGTCACGGATCCTGATGAAGCTATCGCCATCGTAACAGCAGCCGTTGATGAAGGACAGTTTGACGAACGTCAAGACGAACTACTATCCCGATCATTAAATTTCGACCCCCCCTCTTTTTTTCACTTTTTCGCCCTCCCTGGGACCTGTGTTGCTTTCCGTCTCGCCCGCGGAATGTTCATTCATGGTACGGTGTACCGAACGTCTGATGAACACCGGGAGCGGGGGTTGTGAGTCATATCAGAGCAGCAGCGAGCAAAATAAAAAATATAAGGAAACTCAAAAAATTCACTTTTCCCGCCCAAATTTTGGTTTGGGTTCAGTCTTTTTGTGCGCATGACTCGCACACGCAGTCAGTCCACGTCCCGCGTGGCTCCCAGACAGCCCCCGGTATGGCTGCGTCCAACTTCACCAAAAAGACCGCTGCCCGTGCTGGACAAGATGCCCAGGGAGGTCGTCCGCGGTCAAGTGCTCGCGTTGCGAAATGCTGGCCTCTCCTACAACAAGATCGCCACCCAGCTTCACCTCCCACGTTCTACAGTGATCAGCATCACCCAACGTTTCTCGGGAAGGGCGACGACGAGCGACAGCCCCCGCCCCGGTCGCCCCAGCAAGCTCAAGTCATTTCACCGCAACAACATTGTAGCACAGATCCTCCTCGATGAGTCCGACACCGCACCCGAAGTGGCCGCCACTATGCGCACATTGTCCAAAGTTCGTGTCTCTCCATGCACGATAAGAAGGGTGCTGCATGGTGCAGGACTTGTCAACGGAGCGAAGGTCAAAAAAGCCCTCTTGAAAGAGACACACAAAGAGCGACGCTTGGCCTTTGCACTCGCTCATCAGCATTGGACCGTCGATGACTGGCTGAGGGTCGTCTTCTCCGACGAGACTGCTCTCTATCTCTACAGGAACAACAACGGTGGTCGTGTATGGCGTCTGGTTGGCGAAACGTTGACCGATCGATGCGTGCAGGGCACGGTCAAGTTCGGCGGTGGCCATATCAATGTTTGGGGCGCCATCTCTCGTTTCGGAATTTCGCTTTTCTGCGAGGTCGGCGACGTCATGAACGGCGACACCTACCTCTCAGTTTTGGAGAGCGAGTTGCTAGCAAGCATTCGCGTGTGGAACAACAAAAACGAGATGATTTTCATGCATGACAATGCCCCTTGTCACAAAAGAAAAGATGTGGCGAAGTGGTTCGAAACCAATCAGATCACCGTCCTGGACTGGCCTGCGAACTCTCCCGACCTCAACCCCATCGAAAATGCGTGGAACATGGTCAAGAACAAGATCTACCAGGAGAGGGAGATCAAGAGCAAGGCCGCGTTGTGGGAACGCTTCCAAGCGGTCTACGAAGAAGTGCTCACGCCAGAGGTCTGCCGCGATCTCATTTCATCGATGCCGCGCCGCATTCAAGCTGTGATAGATGCCAATGGTGGTTATACCAAGTACTGAAGTGGAGCGAAGGCGCTGCGACACGTTGTTTGTGTGCCATGTAATGCTTTGTGAAAATTGGGCAAAAAAGCCGCTCTTTTTCTGTTTTTTTGAGTTTTCATTTTTGTCTGTTCTCGCTTCGAATCTTAACTCCCAGCCCGCTGCTTCACTTCTAAAATGTGTCTGGTACACTGTACCATGAATGAACATTCCGCGGGCGAGACGGAAAGCAACACAGGTCCCAGGGAGGGCGAAAAAGTGAAAAAAAGAGGGGGGGTCGAAATTTAATGATCGGGATAGTAGTTTGGCCGCGCGTGTTTCAAGCCCGTCCTTTCGCGACCATGCAAATGTTCCGCTCCATCGCGCAATCGGTTTTTGGCTCCCCGACGGACCCAAAAAACTTTCCGGTGCTCCTCATGCGCACCGTCAGCGGCTGCGGCAAAACCGCCTTTGCCAAACACGCAATCTCTCAGGTCGCGAACCTCATGCGTGAGAGAGACGACCTTACCTTTGGGCCTGCTGATACTCCCCTGACGATGGATCAGAGAACCGAGCTTACTGGACTCCTTGAAGGCTCCTTGCAAATTTTCATGGACTTCAATGTTGGTGATCAAGTAGATGGTTATGATTGGCTGAGTGGTGATCGTCGAAAGTCCCTTCTTGCTGCTCGTCTGGCCGCTCATGGGTTGTGCCACACAAACTTAACCAATGCGAGCTGCACTTCAGTTTTCAGCGCATGCAGGTCTGGTCTTCGCACACCACAGGTTCTCGACGCAATTGTGGCACGCCATCGCCAGCAGCACCCGCAGCTCGCACGAGTTTTGATCTTTGTTCACATTGACGCGGTTCGCCGGATCGCACAACGCTTATCCTTGAATGCGGGGACACTGCAGGAAGCAACTGATTTGCTTCAGCGTGCGTATCAAGAAATCGTTGCGTACAATGTCAACCAGAAGGAACAACAGGCCGTTGTGGTGTTACTTTTAACCGGCACTGCTCTGAGTGGCCTGAAGTTCGACACGACGCAGCACGAATTCCATCCAATCAACCTTCTTCCCTTTGACCTGCGCACTTCCATGCTGGTTCTTCGAGAGCTTGGGCTTCACGAATCATGGTGCTCGGATTTGAAATTTCGCCGGTTGGTTCGGGACCTTGGAGGTATTCCTTCACTATTAGGAGCAACACTAACGTACCGCTACCCTGCGTTACGGCAAGAACTCGTCCCCTCGGTCCCATGCAATCTGCAGAGAACACCGACCTTGCCATCAACCCTTCCCAATGCCCCATGACTGCTCTTGAAGCGAGCCAATATATGGTGAACGCAGCAGCACACCATGTTGCCGGGGGAATCGAGACCTTGGTCGAACTATCGTTCGCAAACCTTCCAGTCTCTGAAGACACCCTGATTGGTCCCATCACAGTGGAACAGCTTGCGCATTGTGGCGCCCTTATCACGACCTATCCCTCAATGGATCGCGTCCAGGCTCGCATGCCAGTTGCCATGCTGGAAGGTATTGCGCGCTGCGACAGTCGCTATAACTATTCACATGACAGGACAAAGGTGATGGCCGAATTTCATACGATCACTGGAGGCGATGGCGATGCCGCTTTCGAGACCTATGTTCTGTTTTCGGTCGCATGCCGACTGAACTTGCTTCGGTCTCCACCCGCTTGTGAATCAACTCTCCAGTCCGCGCCTGAGCCAGCTCAATCTGCCCTGCTGTATCAAGTTCTTGGTCTTTCCTCCCCGTCACTGCAAGGCAGCGCGCCTCGCAGTCTCCTGCTCATGAGGTTTGATCTGCAGAACCCTGTCGCAGGAGTCGCGCAACGTTTCACCCTCTTTAAAGAGCGACATCCGTTCATTACAAATCAGCACGATGTCGACGATCGCCAAACTGTCCATACAATACCGTCCTTCTCATCAGGCAAGAGGCAGAAAGTTGACATGCTTGGTGCGGGTTCTTGCCACCCGGTGTTCCAGTGCGCAGGTTCTACGACCCGCGTGAATGGGCGTGTCGCTTTACGACGCAGCCATGCTGGGGCAAAGCCCGTATTGCTGCTGTTCCAAATGATGGATGTGAGCACGCCGCTGGCCGACCTGCCGTCCGCATCAGATCTCGCTGAGGGCGTCACTCGGACTCTGGCGGCTCTGGACAATTCGCCACTCGCAGCGGATTTTCATTTCATACTCGTGCTGGCAATCAGTGGCAACGCGACCCAAGATTGGGCCCATACCGCTCGGAATGGAAATGATCGCGTTGTTGTGCTTGTTGGTCATGACAGTGTTTGTCTGTGTCCGATGTTCTGAGCACTGCAGCAGTTTGCGTGGCTCTTCTTGTTGTTGTTGTCGTCTTGTTGTTGACGATGATATTGTTGTTGTTGTTGTTGTTGTTGTTGTTGTTGTTGTTGTTGTTGTTGTTGTTGTTGTTGTTGTTGTTGTTGTTGTTGTTGTTGTTGTTGTTGTTGTTGTTGTTGTTGTTGTTGTTGTTGTTGTTGTTGTTGTTGTTGTTGTTGTTGTTGTTGTTGTTGTTGTTGTTGTTGTTGTTGTTGTTGTTGTTGTTGTTGTTGTTGTTGTTGTTGTTGTTGTTGTTGTTGTTGTTGTTGTTGTTGTTGTTGTTGTTGTTGTTGTTGTTGTTGTTGTTGTTTGTGTAAGTGAGCGTCTGCTTGCTGCGTGTCGAAAAGTGCTACTTTAAACCCGAAATCTTGGCTGAAGCTCAGTCTCCTGCTGCGTGATCAAGACGGTCGACTCTCCCAGCAGCTCGCGCGGAGCACCCCAACGTTGCTCGAGGTTCAGAAGATTGTCGCACTTGCAGACGTGTAACATCGACCCATTCTCGCACCTTTTCCTTGTTGTATTTGTGCTTTTCCAAGTGAAATTGCGTATTCAAACAATTATTCACAACTCAACTGCAAAATGCAAGAGACTATATTCCAGCACAAATTGGCCATAGTCTTCGTAGGCGACCCTCTTGTTTTTTTTACATTGGTGAAGGAACGACGGGCTCCTCGCCAGCAACACCAACATTCACCATCTCCAACAACTCTGACTCGCTGGCAAATGCTCTGCGGCACTCGTCCCAAAAGTCGTAAAAGGAACTCTGGATGACTTCCTGACGTCCCATGGACGGGCGCCCTCGCCACGTCTGCCGCCAGTACAGCACGAGAGACAGGATTGAGCGCCCAGTCTCTTTGCCAGACGGGCTAATGTGTTGCGACAGCGCGTGAAGAATTTCCTCGGCGCTCAGGAGAGGGCAGCGCCGGTCGAGCGAGGCGAAAAAGTCTTGCGGATGACCCTGCCGCTTGCGTCTCAAATACGATGTCAGGTCTTGTTGCAGATAGGTGAGCTGCGTGTCAACTTTAGAGTGCTCGGCAAGCAACTGGCTCACGCGGTCCTGCACACGCGCAGCAAAGTCCTGCGCTTGATTGTCCTGCAGCGTTGTGAGTGCTGGGCCGACCTCGTTGGCAGACGGGAACTTGGATTGGGTGGCGAGCATGGCAACTCGGACTGCTTCGTCGAGACGAGGGTAGAGCGACTTGCAGCAGAGCATATCCTGCAGAATGCGCTCAATCGAGTCGTGATCATCCGCAGCTCCCAGATTCGGGGTTTGCGGTGTCGAGGCAGTGTCGGACTCGGACTCGGAAGGACTTTGCGCTTGTTGTGGCTGTGATGGTTGTGGTGCATGGGCTTGTTGTCCAGTTGCTGTTGGGTCCCGGACGGCAGCGAGAGCTGTGGCCCGCTGCGCTTTGAGCTTGTGATTCCACGTCAGACCAAGCGAGCCAATGCGGTGGGCAATGTGGACTGGCGACCACACATTGCGATGCATCCAGCCCAGTTTGTTGTCCGCAGAAACGAGGTCGTACAAGTCGTGGAAGAACTGGTCGTGAAGCTTAATGTTCACCTTCCAGATCAGCAAAATGTTGGTCAGCAACTTGCTCAGCTGGGCCTGGACTTCGGCGACAGTGCGCTCGCGTTGATGGCCGAGCAGACAAATGGTACGCCAGATCAGCGCGTAGCAGGCACGCTCTTTCAGGGCAAGATGCGACGTTTGAGAAGCAATGAACGCTGTGTGCAAAGAAGAATCAAGCAAGCGCAGCGTCTCCTCCACCAGCTTTTGGGTGCATTCTTCGCGGCTGTAATCAGCGACTGTTCCAGAGGAGGGTGGCGGCAAGTCCGAGGGCGTTGAATCAAGGGACGTGATCGAGGCATCAGCATCAGCAGCAGCAGACTTGGAGACGACTTCGTGCTCGTCGTCAACAGTGCAGACGGAAATCCACAAGCCTTGATCATCGAGCATTTCTTCAGTGTCACTTCCGCAGGTGGGACACAGAACTTTGGTGGCGGCGTCTGCACCATCGGCTGCGTCCGGATTGCTGGGCTGTTGCGCGCCACCAGCAGTGCTCAACGCCCGTGCCGCATCCAGCAGGCTAGGGTCAGTGCTGTGGTGCTCACGAGCTGCCAAGTCGGCTGTTGCGCGATCATAGATGGTGAATGGTAGAATCTTTTTAATGTTGGGCGGGTATGGCTCTGCGTCTTGGCCCTGGGCGATGCACCGCTTGTACTCGTCGTCCATGGTCTTTGGGAGATGCTTCCAGAAGCTTTCAAAGACATGCGGCTCACCCGGTCGGCTGACATGCTCGTCGCATTTGCTCACGACAAGAATGGCCGGGATGGGCGTGTTGGACTTGCGGTCTTTGAGCTGGGCAAGTCGACGCGCGCACCCGGTCGAAAAGAAGCGCGTTTTAGCCTCCACGACAAACCAAACAACATGCACCCGGGATTGATCACTCTGGAAATCGGCACCGCCCATGAGCGCATCGAGCTTCTTGTCAAACTCGATAATCGCCGAGCTGCCGGCCTCCAGACCCATCGTGTCGATGACGGTGAGAGCGGGAAGATGCCAAACCCGAAAGTTGGTATCGCCGTGCGGCACGTGCGACGCAATGGCTCGGACATCGGCTCCGAAAATGCTGGCGAGCGCTGACTTGCCTTGGCCCGACTCGCTCATCAACAAAACGACCGGCTTGTTGACACTCCGTCGCAAGCTGGTGTGCGCGGCAATAAGGCTGTGTTTCGCGCCAATAGCGACGCGCTGCATGACGCTGGACAGTTGGCTCGGGGTGTTGGCGCCCATGACGGCAGCTTCGGCTTCGCGACTTTGCTCCGCATCAAGCACATCAGCGCTCGAGTCGAACGCGGCAAGGATGTGCAGGTTGCATTCTGGAACGGTGGCGGCACGTGTGGCATAGTCGAGTTGGTCGAGAGCACGCTCCAATGCGGGCGCCCACGACGACCGATCGCTGTCGACCCCAACGTAGGGCGCAAGCGGACCAAACAGGTGCTGCCGTAGCAGCCGGAGCTGGAATTCCACAGTCTCCAGGGGAACAAACGAGGAACGATTGCGTGTTTCTTGTCGAAATGTCGCCGAGAGGTAGCTGCCGAGCTGCTGATGCTGTAACGGCGCCGCAGACACCACGTCTTCAAGGACCAGAGCCCCTTGACGAGCGATCGGCTTGGAGATGCGACGATGTGCGCGCGCATCCTCCGTTTCGCATCGGCAAAACACGGGAAGGTGTCGTCGTGACAACTCGCATGCCAACGCAATTCGCACCAGCAGCTCTACGGAAGAGCCAGAGCAGTCCAGGTTGATTGCAAGGCCATCAGCACGGTTGATACCAGCGATCAGGCTGTCGACCGCAGGGAGTGCATTGCCTGCTGCTGCCTCGATGGTGGCTGCACCTGGCTTGGGGGCCAAGTGCCCATCCAGCTGGACTGCGGAGGAAACAAACCGCACTTCATCTCCCAGTTCCGAGCGGAAGGCCAGTTTCGAGTGTGCGTATTCGACTGGAAGCATCGCGCTGCTGACGGCGAGTGGAAGCACGCTCAAAGACACGTTGGTCGAGTCTACCGCGGTTGAGCAGCGCAGCCTCAGCGCATCGGCCATACTTTGGCCGCAAAAATCACGGCGATTGAACAACAGGGTGGCCGTGGACGGAATTGGGACAGCCTGGGTGACGGCATCACGTGTGAGATCGGGGTCGTTGTCGCAAAGATTGACTGTGAGACTACTCGCAGACACAAGATCGGCAATCAGATTGCATGCGCCTGCGAGGGCGATCGCGTTTCCAGAGACATCGAGGAGCTGCAAACCCCGGCAGCGGGCGAGCGCGCGAAGAAAATTGCCACACGACGACTGCAGCTGGAGCGTGTTTTGTGCCAGCTTGAGCACCACGAGCGACTCGGAGGCAAACTGCACCATGCCAGCAAGGTGATTGATGTCCGTGTCCACGAGGCCGTTGCTCGAGAGGTCGACGAATCGCAGCAACGAAGTGGTGTCAGCGGTGGCACGCACCTGGGCCAGCGGCGCCAAAATCCCAGAAAGGCCGCACCATGGCAGGAGCAGGGTGCTCAGACGTGGAATGCGCTCCGCGAGACGAGCAACGCTCGCGCGAGTCAGGGCATGCTCGCTGCAGACGATGACGTCGCTGCTCGGGAAATCGGGCGACGACCTGTCAATGCCTTCGAGGATTGTGTTAAAGTACCGATTGTTGACAATCTCGCGCAATTCGGGCGAAGGACGACTCGGGTTGTCGGCGAGTTGGACGAAAACAATGTTGGACTTTTTCAGCGCCTCCCCGAGTGAGTCCATGCCGGCTTGCTTGATACGGTTGTTTGCCAGATCGAGCGACTGCAGGTAGCCACCGGACGAGCTCGCGGCAGAATCCTTGATGGCTTGGGCGAGGATACTGACGTGCCTGTCCTGCAGCGCGCAGTTTGAGAGCTGCAGATGCCGAATGTGGAACTGCCCATCGCGCGAGATGATCTTTCCGATGCTCGTTACCACATCTGTACCCAGTGCAATATTGGAAATGACGAGAGACGATAGATGGTGAAGGTGCGTCTGGGTCACGCCAATGAACTGTTTGTCGGCGGCAAATCCATCCGCGAGCCGAAAGAGCCGAGTGAGGATGGCAACGACAGCGCGATCGGTGATGCAGCTGGGTTGCCGCTCTTGCGACTCTGCAGCATCGCTCTGCGCCGTGTTCATGCCGACATTGGCGGCTGGGGGTGTGAGGGGACTCTGATTCTGAGGCAGAGCGAGCTCGAGATTGTCATCTGGTGCGCGGACATGGATGCCCGGCGAGGCTTGTAGCTCGTTCAAATACAATGTAGCTAGCAGCAGGACACCGATCGGGTCGTTTGTGATATCGTCCGAGGATGACGACGTTGAGCTTGAATCGCCCGAGTGCGGGTTGTTTGGCGAGGTGGTGCTCTTGGCGCCAAACCAGCCACGCTTGGCCTTTGCAGCAGCAGCCTCAGCAATGCCAGTTGCTTCTCCGTGACCCAGCACTGCAAGCAAGTTGGCGCCCTGCGGAGCCTCGAGTTGGAGCAGCCAGCTTGAGAGTGTGTTCAGGCTCAGCGGCGTGAACAGCCTGCGAAGCGATCCCGCGAGCTCTGTTTTTTTGATTTCACGGCATCAGGTTTCAGGTCGGTGAGCGTTCGTTCGAGATCATAGTATTCTCAACTCAAACCTGAATCATAACTATTGAGCATCATCATCATCATCATCATCATCATCATCATCATCATCATCATCACTTGTCGAGTATCGGTTGATTTGAGTGGGTTTTCCATTGCAAAAATCCTGCACTCCACGTCTTCGAGGCTGATGCTACGCAAGTCCCAAAATGAAGTCGAAGGCCAACTCACAGAAACCCCTCGTTGAGGTTTCTGGGTCGTGGGGAGATGACGATGAGTTGGGTGGAGTGGGATGGGGTTTGTAATGGTGTGGCACAGAACGAACGAGCCGTGTCGCACCGGTCAATGATGTTGTTGTGAGCTCGGTGGGCAACGATGGGGATGACGAATGGAATGGGGATGCCAAGTGTCAAGTGCATAGGACTGTAGTAGCAGAGTAGGAAGGAGGAAGGGGGGGGAGACTGAGTGAATGGAGGGGAAACCGCACTTTGAGCGTGAGAGCGATCGCGCGCAGATTCAAACAATGGCACTCCAGCCAAAAACGAAGAAGCCATTTGAGAACAAAGAATCGGGACTGGATTTGTTTGGAGGTGGGAGGGAAGGGGGAAGGGGAATAAAAAACTCAGAAAATCGCAATAAAAACGAGTACAGAGACATAGCAATAACAAACCACACAGCGCAACAACATCAACATCAACATCAACATACAACAACATCAACATCAACACTAGACCTCAAAATGCAGTCGACCGACGCAACGCAACGCGGAAACGCTCGCGAAGGCCAGACTCAAAGCGCAGCCAGGGCGACTCGGAGCCTTGCAGATGGTAGTGTCTGCTGTCTGCGGCAGCGCCGGCGTCGTTTTGGCCGACAGAGCTCAGAGCGTCAAAGATGACCTGCATCTGGGCCACGTCGAGCCGAAGCGGATCTGGGTTGTACGACGGCGAGACGCCAGACTTGGAGAGCTCGTCGCTGGGGTCGTCGTCCTCGAGCGTGACGAAATGATTCTGGATGGCGCCGACAGCCGTGGTCGACAGCTCTATCCGGCGACGGCGCTCAAAGATGAGAGCAAGCTCGGCCGAAATAGGGATGAGCGTCGTTAACGACTCGATCGCAAAGCCAAAATCGATTGCTGAGCTGGCAAAATGCCGAGCGACGAGCTCAAAGACTTGGAGCACGTAAAATCCAGCGACAATAAGCACGCCGTACCACATTTCCGTGGCATAGAAGGTGTCTTCGAGCGTTTCGTGGTTGACAAAGAACTGAATGGCGCTGGCAAACAGTGTGAGCACAGGCAGCGCCTCGAGACTGACCAGTGCAATGTGCCAGCCGCTCTGGTAGTACGAGCAGAGCTCTACGATCTGCAGCCGATTTGAAAGCGTAGCCGGCGTGATGACTACCTCCGAGACAAGATCTGCATTCGTGGCCATCACGAAAATCTGAAAGATGAACAAGACCATCACCACCACAGCGGTCATCGCCAAGGCTTGGAACTGAGCAAAATCTCGCTTCAGCCACCGCGTGAACGGAGTAGCATCACGTTTAAAGTGAATGTACCTACAAGCGAAAGAACGCACTCGCGGTGAGAAAAATGGGCTCCTGAAAGCAAAACACAAACAGACACACACACAAACACACACACACAAACACACACACACACACACACACACACACACACACACACACACACACACACACACACACACACACACACACACACACACACACACACACACACACACACACACACACACACACACACACACAAACAAGCCAACGTTCGCGAACATTCATTGTTTTTGCTCTTACCTGAAAAGAAGGACAGTCAACGACCCAATGTTGAGACAGTAGCCAAAGTGACGCAGCCAAAAGGCAATCGAGCAGCTTGCTCGCGTCGCAGTACTGCCCACGACGGCGACAAGCACCAGCTGGAAGACCGTACCAACCAGCATGCAAAAGAACAGGTTGGGAAACGCCCAAAGTTTGAAAGGCGAGGTATTGTTGAAGTGCGCAGTGCGAGGTCGCCGCAGCAGGATGCGCCAGCACCACAGTGCAAAGAACAAGACGAGCGTCGCAACGGACGCAATCACCAAAATGACTTCAATGCTCTTGCCTTGAACATCCGGCGTCACTGTATCGCCCCGTGCCAAAGCCAAAACCTTCCTTGAATGCAACAAACGCTGGATTAATGTCAAACACCATGCGGTACTGGGCAGAGCTGATACGTCCCGATGGTGGTGTAATTGACGACAGTGTGACCAGCGAGCAAGCCCGAAAC